CTCATACTTGGAATTTGTCTTCATTAATGATGTATTGATTTAGGTTAAACTCTTAAAATTAAATGGAGTTATAGGAGCACTAACTAAACTAACCATTAATTTGTTGACCGACGACGAAAAAGGGAAACGTCAATAACATCCTAGCTTTTACTTTTTTTACGTAATAAGAGAAGACAAAAGTAGTAATTAAGGAAAGATTGAGAGAAAACATGGTCACATGATCGACGAGAGAGGATGAGAAAATTGAAGACGTACGTCAACGGCATTAAGTAAAGTTACAATTAGGGTTTGTTCACAAGAACGTGATCATAAAATCAAAGCTCCATAGAAGACTCATAAAACATTGCTTAATGCCTGCTACTTCTTGGACAACCTTTACGTGAATGATAAGTGAATTAACTTAACCTCCTTCTAAGTTATCCCTTAATTTTTCCCTTTTCGATATATATTAACATTTCACTTATCAATATTCAGAGTGAACCGTATATATGCATTAGTTAGCTTATATATATATATATAGATTAACATACAAGAGGACAAAAAAAAATAATATATAGATTAACATACATATAAATGTGACAGTTCAATATAATTTTCCCCTGCTAAATTATATATATATATATATATATAACGTAACTATGCATTTTCAAAAGTTTTGATATATTATTGGTTAGCAAAATCCATAATTTTTAGGGTCATTTAAAACTGTAAATTTGTTACACTAATATTATTTTTTTTATAAGTTTTGTTTTTTCAAAAATGGTTGCAACAATAATTGTAATTTCTTTTGGTTGAACAAAGTATAACATTATGAAATGAAAATAGTTATCTGGTCTGCTAATTTCTGGCATATTTTACCACAACTTTTTACTTTATATATAATCACTCTAAAGTTTATCTCCTGGCATTTTTTAACCTAAACTCGAAATAAACTTGAACTTAAGATATGATATCATCTGAAAACTTTAATATTTCTTTCCACACCTAAATTTTAGTTTTGGCGCAGGCTTATCAACTGCTTTGCCTTATAAAGCATGGAACCTTCCCGTTGATGTAACATGTTCTAGATGGTTAGTAACTTCTATGCACACTACGCCAAATTGTACTTACTTACTAAAAGTAACACCAACCAAAGTTTAACTTATACGCTGATTAATCAAATTCGGTTTTGGCACAGACCAGACCATCTTCACTTGCTGCGGTTATCATATATTTCTTTTTAACCTAAACTCATCAACCACTTGAAAAGTATTCTTGTATACATATATTTACACATTAGCGTCATGATATGAACCTACGACAAAGTTTATTAATCATTTCTTTGTAATGTCAGCTGAAAACTACAATAGGCATATAGAGACCCTTCGCATGTTTTATATACCTTTTCTTTTTAATATCTAGAAACTATTTGTATATATATAAAGTCTTGTTTGGGATAATTTAGTTTTTATAATATCAAAGTTCTCTTAACTTAAATTAATTCGTGACGTACTGTATATATCCTAAGGGTTGGAACTTGGAGTTATCTATAAATCGATTAACCTAAATTTGAGGGCAAAACTCTTTACCAAAAGAACATGTTCACCTTTAGAATCAGTGGACGTTTCAGCGAAATTTGGATACTCATGATCATGGTAAATCACTACTAAATCTAACGAAAAAACATGTTAATAGCACTAATTAACCAGTGCTATTAATACTTTAATTTAGACTGATACTTTATATACGGATAGTCTGATACTTTACGGGACATCATTACTCGGACTAATATTTCATGAGACAGCACAATGTACATTGATACTTGGCTACCTTTAAGGTGAACACTCAAGTTGTTGGCTGGCACGTTTAAGGCTACTTTCCCAGTTTGATATCTTATTTTCTGGTCATTTTCATTTATAAGACAAAATGCTTTTCCTAAGCCTAATTTTCTCATTTTTTTCCTCACGCAAGCAACAATTCACATATGTCTTGATGTTTGATGTTTTGATTGTTTCATTTAAATGAGGAAAAAAAAACTAACACCTTTGTTTTGAAATGTCATAGCTTAAGGAGTTTATTTAGTTATTGCTTTTGAATGTTTCATTTATTATTGAAAGGTCTCTTTTATGGTTTAATTATATCAGATTAATTTGATTTTATAAGAAATGTTTGGATATGGTCATATCAATTTTTTTTAATGCTTTTTAGTTTTCGTTAGTCGCAAAACTAAAGTAGAGTCTACAACTTTACTTTTATCATATGAGATTACGAGAAAAAGCTATACATGCTCTAACAAATGACATTTTATAGGAATCATACTCTAAATCTAGTATAAAATATATTTTTAAACCATTGGTCATTGGACAAATTAAAGAGCTTCCACAAGGTAACAAAGATTAATGGTATAAATTTTGTATTTATAAAAATATATAAGTTAGATATTTAGTTTATGAAACCAATGCATGAGATTAGGGTGGCGATTAATCAAGTTGATATTGGATTCAAAGGTAAGACAATTTGCGAGTTTGAGAGTGCCCTTTCATCTAACTCTAATCTACTCACTAATCTTTTTCGTTGACCCGAGTTAGAATATATTATCCACTCTGCAATCACAATTAGAGCTAAATGCATTTGCTAATGACATATGCAGCCGCCGCCTTTTTAACTTTGGCCTTATGATTTGAACTTGAAAGCGATAGGTGGTAGAACAGTTAGTTCTACAAGCCATTGTTGCCCTAAAATTTTATTTAAATAATCCAGCACTTTTTGGGATTTTTAATGGGTCGGTATCTAATTTTGATCTAAATAACTCTTATTACAAGACTGGTGATTTCATTTTCTCTACTAACCATTTGTGTGTGTATATATGTTGGTTAATGTCACCATTTGTCTTGTTGTGTTAAACATGTAAATGGCATGCCGAGTAGTCGGTAATCAGTTGCAATATCTGTTTTATTATTACAGCTTACGACAAAAACTGAAATTTTGTCGATCGACGTCATTTTGTTGTTGTTGTTGAAACTATATCTTAATTTGTGATATTTTAGAACTGATTTAGAGTCCGACCGAATTTAATATTATTTTTTGGTTTTAATGTCGAATGGCTATTAAAGATTTTACTAGTTCCTCCAAAAAAAACAAACATTTTAGGGCTTTTGTAAGAAAATTTCGAGATTATAGTGTTTTTCTTTAAGCCATGGAGATGTGATTAGTTAATAACAATTATATTTCTTACGTTTATATAGTTCAATATAACAATAGAGAACCCGAAACGTTATCAGATTTTTTTTTTAAGTGTACGTACCTATCTCTATTGCATGACAAATTGACAAGATAATATATAATTACAAATGTGTGATGTGTGGGAATATAGATATTATGTGAGATAATTCCAAACAACAAAATGTTAGTTATGATTGATAGAAGCCTATTCATCTTATGTTAATAGTTCTTTAACGACTCTTGGTTTATTAGTGATAACGACAGAAATTGCCGATCTAAATGCATATACGCAACCTAACATTGGAAAAATATTAAGTCCCGGTACATTGTTCTCTTATATAATATTTTGATTGCCTTTGTCGACTTCCTTCGGAACATGTATCAACGTCTTTCTTATTCTATTCGAAATTTGACTTTAGATAATATTGTATTTTACGTCTATCTCTCGTGGAACATATGTCATATACGTGCGAGTCGTGGTTCTCGGTTTAGGAAACTGGTTTAATGAGCTAGATCGTGCATGATCGGGGGCGGTTTAAGATTTTGCTTTTGCATGGTGTTTAAATGGTATTTGTAGCCATGCACAATAATCTTAGTTGTTATTTTGTAAATGTACGAGAAATTAAACGAGTGTCAAAAATGATATATATATGATTAATTATAAAGACCTGAAGCATAGATTGGATTTGTACGTACGTAGGATTAGGTCATAGATCTTCAAAATCAAACCAAACATATTTGGATAGCCACCGTACGTTGCAAACTTTGGGACGCATTTAGAATCACTCCAATCAATGTTTTGAATCAAAGATGAAGCACTATTACTAAAACTTGTGGCTATCTTCTCTTTTTCGACACATAACCACGATTCATATTCGTGGCTATACAATGTGTTCGATGTTGGTTCATATTATATGTTATTGAACTAACCAAAAGGTTACAAGCCCTACAAAAAACTGTCTATTTTGTGTATATATGCATGTGTATCAGTGTATGCATGTGACCTGTCTCAATTTGATATAAGTAGCATAAATTTTTCTAGTTTCGTCCGCTCATTACTCATCAAGTCATTAGGAATGATTTTCTTGTTTTCTCTAATGGGCCTTATCCAACAAGTGTTTAAAAGTCTAGCCCAGTACAGTTAATTAGGCTGAATCGCAATTATGGCTTTTGTGTGGAGGGGACATTCACCAAATTGTTCAAGGGCCTGTTACATTCGTCGTTTACGTTATCGCTCCGCTCTTCTAAGTTCAACTCCCTTACTCTCGAGTTATAATAACATAAATGTTTTGTTTTAAGTTTTAATCCTTGATTTGATATCAAGTATACTTGTTGTTATATCCTGATTTATCGAGTATTAATTCTTAAAAATATTTTACGTACGCGCGGTATGTTGGGAATATCGGCTGTTAAATCTTAGACGTGGTACATCCATATATCCAATCTAACGTTTTCGATCTTAATAAGTCCTATCAAAGAGGCTCAAGTTTGGCCGAAAGTATAGTTTTGCTTTCTAGCTAGAGTGAGTCGATTAAAATGATTACATTTGCCACGGAGATTTCTTTTTGATAATCATGAAATTTTCCTTTGATTTCTAGAGTGTGTTTCGAGTTTCAAAAATTAATTTCCATGATGGCACGGTCCAAATCTATATAAATCGAAAAAATAATGTAAATCACTCTTCCCTAAATTGATGCCAATATCCAAAAACTATATAGCAAAAATATAAATAATTATTTTTCTTGTACTTGTATGTTTTAAAATAGGAAAATTCGCAAATGTAACTAGGCAACCATATAAGACAAAGAGTAATGACGATAATTTATTTATTTTAATAAGAAGCCTCTGGATAATATGTGAATAATAACGATGTTTTTAAAACTCGATCAGAACTATGCGATGTTCCAATTAAAACAAAGTAACCAATGAAGAGCCAAGATCTGCACGCGCTCTTTAGCAAAACCGGTCACCTGGTTGGTCGCTCATGTTAGCTGCATTAGGTATCTCGAAGTGCCAGAGTCTACCAGCGGAGTTGACTTTATACTTCTCGCAAAGGAACTCATTAGCGAAAGCTTTCTCTACTTTACGGTCAACGTCATGAAGGAACACGTGTGTGGTGCCATCACCTTTCCGGTTACGTGCCATGATGGCTGAGGAGAATATCGCAGCCATCCTCCCTGGTGCTAGTGGGAAGTACCCTTTTGGTGCGTCTACCATGATCAGATCCCATTCAGTATCATAGAACTCATCAGGAAGTGAAGTCAACGCCAAGGGACACTTTTCGTTGTTTCGGATCGGGAAAGCATTAGCAGGTAAACACATGGGTTCGGTCTTGTAGGTTGAGAGAAGACGACCAGCTTGAGAAAGGTGTGTTCGGTACTGAACATGGTGGGCTCTTAGGGACGGTGCGTCCTTGAGAACGGCCTGTATCCAGTCAGGATCTTCTTCTAGGAATACAGTGGTGCCACCTGGATTGAGAGATGCCCACATGAGGGAGTCACGGCCAAGGCCAAAGACTAGGAAATTGCAAGGGAGACGCTCCTTGAGGACGTTTAGAGAGATCGAGATCTCTTCGAAGGATTGTTGAGGGACGGTTTGTGAGGTGGCATAGTGGACGATGGATTGGAGTTGGAGTGGGGTGGATGAGTATTCGGCTATGGTAGAGGCCGTGGTCTTAGCCGTGGAACAAAGTGATAAAGTGTTGTCTGTAGCTCGGATGAAGCTTGTGATGAGCAGTGCACCACCTAAAAGACCAGCTAGAGCAACCGCTAGGAACCATGGTCGTTCAAGAAGCGTTTGCTTTGAACCTTTGGACTTGTCTTGGGTCATGTTTGTTTTTTTCTTTGGGTTTGGCGAGAGAGGCTGATGAGTCGGAGTTATACAAAGGTGAGGGGATCGGGTGAGGAAGTGGTGAAATAATGGTAATGAGAGAGTCAACGAATATGAAGCACGTCGGTCTCAATCATTGCACGTAATAATGTAATAGTAATATGATTGATCAACCCCTCGTTGTTCTTTTAATCTAATTTACTCATTTCTTTTTAAGAACACATCTCAGATGAACAAATATGTTTAACTATTTACATTTTAATTGTAAAACTTTCAATTTGGGTAATTGTAAACATTTGACAAAAAATAATAGAAAAATGTTATGGATGCGAGTTTGACATGAGATTAAATAGTGGTTCAGTAATATGCACAATACAAACGAAATTTACTCTAGGAAGCTAAACATATATTTTTTTCAGAATATAATATGATCCGAACAAGATTTTATGGCCTTGGCAATATTCATTCCTACAAATTTAGATGAAACTTGTAATGCTAAATTTTTCCATATCACGATCTCATTTTCATTTATATATATAATGAAGGTTGTTGCAAGAGTACAAAAATTTAAACTTGGACGTTTTAAGACAATTTGAAACTTGGACGTTTTTAATACCTTCGGAATTGACACATATATATACACCTTACGGACACAAATATATAAAAACCCCATGTACATAGAACATAGTTATTATAGATCATTCAAAGAGACAAACTAAGATCAAGAGAAGAGGTATGTTTACAAAAATTAATTAGTCTGCTTTATGATAGTAAAACAGTATAAACCCGTCTACCTTAGAACGTATAAAGACTCTTAATCACTACTATATTAGTACTGTTAATCCCAAAATAGTATTAATCCATTGTGTATGAAAAAATTGTTTTACAAAATATTTGGGAAGATGATTAATGAAACTCACCATTTTATTTCGAAAAGTAAGATTTGGTTTCTATAAATGAAATAACGTGAGAAAATGTGCTATGTAAATGCATAACATTGTTTTAAAGAATCTCATTTTCACTGTATTGTTTTTTTCTTTTTGTCATCAAACTTTTCACCTTCTTGTCTTGCCAAGAATTATATCAAAATGTAGAGTTTTGTTTATCATTCATTCAGATTTTCTGAAAACAAATTTTATTTTCTTAATGAAAAAGAGGTTTTAGAATTGGCACCTCAAATTGTAATTTATTGTATGAATCACTATCCATAAAAGTCTGTTGCAGACAAATATAAAATAAAAAAAAATTAAACTCATAACTTTTAAATTAGTAATGGTAAAAAAGTTTTTTAAAATATCAAAACCAACTACACATTAAAGTTTTGGAAATTAATACACATGAAAGTTTTACAAATATCAAAACCAATTAATAGAGTTTCGTGAATTAAGGATTAATTAAATAACATTAAAGGAAATTTTTTTGGGTCAAAAAAAACATTAAAAACATTAACTCTTCAAGAAAAATAATAAAAACCTGCCTTAATATAATGTTTTTTTCAATATTATTTAGTAAATTTCCTTTTTTTTTTCTTGTTACATTATAAAAACAATCTGGTCCAAAATTTTCTCCTCTTTGTTTCTCCTCCCGTGTCGAGCTAAATCTTAGGGCAAAGGTGATATCGCCGAGGGACGTCTAGCCACCGCGACGCCTCCTTCTCCGGTTATCTCGCTAACTTCTCAGACCATTCCACAGCTATGTCACAGGTAAACACTACCCACTCTATTCGTCTGCCCCGTCTTATATTCCCGCTATGCGTAAATATCGCAGATCTGACCACTTTAATCGACTCGGAGCTCTGCTTTATGATCGAATTCTGTGGTTACAGTGACCAGCACTGCATCGAATCGTTCAATTTCAATTGCGTGACTCTGAATTAGTTTTGGAGATCCTTCCTCGTACCACTGATTTGAGTGTTGTTTGATTGGTGAATTTTGACTTATTTTTCTCTGAATTTTTTAGGTAGACAACAGAAACTCTTCAGCTGCTAAGCGTGCTAGAACTGACGGTAATGGCATTTTCTTGCTTCAAAAACTATTCTGCTGTGTTCTGTAGAGTCTAGTTTGGATAATTCAATTCCATATAACGAAGATACATTGCACATTGCGTCCATTGTCTTGCTTGCTTTTAGTATTAGAAATTACTCTGTGTATCAATTTATGTTTAACAAACTTTCGAGATACGTGACATATTCGGAAAAAATTGCCAATGTGTTTTGTTTCGGTTTCTTTCAGCACATTCTAAGATCCTCGTCTCTTCTCTGTAGTACATACTAGTAATGTGTCTCGTCTCTGTAGTACATACTACTAATGTGAATAGCTGTTTGGTTTACTCTTTTGGTTGTGGATAGGGGGGCGTCGAGAAGATGACTGGATCTGCCAAAGTTGTGGGAATGTTAATTTTTCTTTCAGGACAACTTGCAATATGCGTAATTGCACTCAGCCTAGACCTGCAGATCATAACGGAGTAAGTCGTTTTCGGTTTCCTTTGAACCAGTTTGTGTTTAGTCATATTTGAGCATTGATTTTGCAAAGCAGACATTGGCTTCTTTCCATGGGGCTGAGTTTAGAGATGCTATCTTATATCTTTATGTATAAAAATAACCTTATGTCATCGGTCTTAGTAGAGCTCTTCGAGTCACACATTTATCGAAAGTAAATATGGTGAGTAGTATCAATTAGGATTTTCAGGTGTTTTTTAAGCAAAATAAGAACTGATGTGAAAGTCCAGCCTTAGTATTTTGTCTATAGTTACTGCATCTACTGTAGTCTGTGTGCAAGAGATTGTAGCTGTGTGACAACTGCAGTGGCAGCTCAGCACCCGCAAATGTTGCTGCCTTGCTGGAAGTTGATAGGTTAACAAAGGGATTAGCAGAATGTAAAGGGAATTTCAGGATATTTCTTGAGTTTTGTTGGGTTATGTGAGAGAGCTGGTCTCTTGAATAATCAATCCCCTGGTTCTTGATTTGTACTTTGATTCCATTTGAAGATATAGAAGAGATTCTATCAACTTTACAACCCATATGTTGTCTATTAATCAATAAGAGCGGCAATATATAGCAACAATTATCTACTTAGTTTTCTTTTATTTACATGCCTGTTGATAACCTATTTGCTGCATATCTGTAACAGAAGTCTGCTCCCAAACCTATGCAAACTCAACAAGGTTTCTCCTCACCTGGGCCGTATTTAGGATCTGGGGGTCCCCCTCCAGTATATATGGGCGGATCACCTTATGGATCTTCTCTCTTTAATGGATCGTCTATGCCTCCTTATGACGTCCCATTTTCTGGGGGTTCGCCTTATCATTTTAACTATAATAGTCGCATTCCGACTGGAGCTCATTACAGACCACTACATATGTCTGGCCCACCACCATACCATGGTGGATCTATGATGGGAAGTGGTATGTATTTTTAATTTGTTTTTGGTTTCTGGATATTTCCCAATTGGTGTCAAGCCATCCAATTACCATCATTGTACCTGGGTATAATTTGGCCGGTGCATTTTTGGATTTTTTTTTTACAGGTGGTATGTATGGCATGCCTCCACCAATGGACAGGTATGGCCTTGGTATGCCAATGGGTCCTGGTGCTGCCGCTTCTATGGTATGTTTAACAGTAAGATGCTTGGTTTTGATCATAAGCAAGATCTTTTAAGTCACTGGACTTGTAACATGAGCTGAAATCTTTTCACAATATGTGTGCACAATTCTTTGCAGATGCCAAGACCAAGATTCTACCCAGATGAAAAATCACAAAAAAGAGGTATGTGCTAGACCGGTTTTATTTTTTTCCCATTCTAGAATGTGTCAGCTGTAAAGTGATAGTCAACTAGGTATATTCTGTTTTTAACAGATTCGACTCGCGATAATGATTGGACATGTCCAAATTGTGGTAATGTAAATTTCTCATTCAGAATTGTATGTAACATGAGGAAGTGCAACACTCCAAAGCCTGGTTCCCAGGTTTGTGCTGTTTTTTTTTTTTGTTTCAGTTTGACAGTTTCACATAGGGAACATATACATTATTGTGATTTGTGAATTCTAGAGCTTGCTTGGTTTATTTGGCTATCAAAAAACAGCTTGCTTTCATTATAGATGGCTTACTTGGATAGATCTTGGGATTATTTTCTTAAGTTCTGACCTTTAACCTCTTATTATTGCAGCAGAGTGGGAACTCAGATAAAATATCCAGTAAGCCCCTGAAAATTCCTAAATGTTGCAGCTAACTTAATAATCTTTGAGACTGACATAAGGATATGTGTTGTTGTGTACCAGAACAAAATGCACCGGAAGGGAGCTGGAAGTGTGATAATTGTGGAAATATAAACTATCCATTCAGGAGCAAATGCAACAGGCAGAACTGTGGAGCTGATAAACCAGGGGATCAGGCAAATGAATCTCCTTCCCATGCACCAGAAGAGAACGATCAGGTTTGTCAGATGTATCTATGTGGTCACATTTTTTTGTTAATAAACTGTTTACCTCTGAAACTCATATATGTAACAACTGGTGTAGATTCTATGCCTTGTGAAAGCAACAGTTATTTGTTTATGAAATACTTGACTCTGAGTTCGTTAAAAATGTTTAAAACCCAATATAGAGTTGGGTGTCTCTGAACGGTGTGTTTCAATTTGTGGTCTGTTCCAGTGAGTCGTAGACATGTTTGGGGGTTGAGAAGGGTGAGTCTGATCCAGCGGGTGTCATATTGTCAGTCAATGTCTCGTCAGGTCGTCCATGTTGAAGCGGTCTCGTCAAGTTCCATGCATTTGTCTCTTTACCTACTCTTGGGTGTCTATGTTGTATTAACAATGCATAAATTGGTTTTTATCTACTTTGTGGTCATCGTGGATCTTGTCTTCCTATAGAATTGTCCTTAAGGTCGTCTCGTCCTTACTGGTTACATCCTAATCATAGTTGGCACTTATGGTTTGATTCTTTGTAATCCCCCTAGTCATTTTTATGTTATTACCATTTTCGCCACGATTATGGAATCTAGCAAGCCCAAAATCTCCAACTTTCCCATTTAAAATAGAAGAATGTTGCTAGCTTTTATACCTCTATGCATTACAACTTGTCCCCAACCATCATGTAGATACTTTGTAATGTTAATATAGGTAAACCCACCACATTTAAACCCATCCCATTTAAAATTTACCCCATTTACCTTAAACCCATTTACCTTAAACCCATTTAGTCCCTATTTAAGTTTAGACCCATTTAAATGCTCATTACCCATATAACCCATTTTTTACCCATATAATAATTTATTGTAAATTTACAATATAACTAATAATTATTAAAAATAATTGATTATTGATTATTTTTTTTGAATTTAATGGATAAATAATTATATAATTGTTTTTACGGTTTGGCGGAAATACATGATTATACTATTTTGGTAGAAATCACGTTTTTTTTTTGAGAAAATAAGTCTTCAAAGTTTTGGCGGGAAAACACAATTTTTATGGTTTTGGCGGGAAAACAAGATTTTATAATTTTGGCGGGAAAAACAAATTTACGTTTTTGGCAGGAAAACACGTTTTTTACGGTTTTGGCGGGAAAACACGATTTTTACGTTTTTGGCGGAAAACACGATTTTACGGTTTTGGCGGAAAAAACAATTTAATGTTTTTGGCGGAAAACAAGATTTTAGAAAACACGGTTTGAATATTTTTTATAATTTAAGTTAAAATACGGTAATTTCTAATTATTTAATACTATTATAATTTGTGATTAAAATATGAAATATTTCTATTAAATAGAACTAAATATATAAATGGGTTAATGGGTACCTATTTATTTAATTTAAACTCCATTTACTAAATGGGTCTAAATGGAGAAATACATATAAACCCATTTAATAATTTGAGGTAAAGGAACAATATTCTTCCAACTCTCCTCCGGAACGTCTCGCGCAAGTAGTGATTTACAACCTCTGGAGGCAAAGGAACAATTTTGTTCACAACATCCTGAGGTTTGTTCCTCCTCTTATCTTCCAGCTAGTGGACCGGGAACTGCGTAATATCATCTCCGCTCGAAGAAACCGCAAACGTTGGGATGGCTTAATGATTTTGTGGATTAGATAGCTTTCCTCCTTTTGCTTAATATTGTGGCCTTGTTTTTTTTTTTTTTTGGCCTTGGCTGCTCTTGTTTAGGATTTGCATATTGTAATTCCTACTTTTCATTATATATGATATTTACAGGTTTAGCAAAAAAATAAAATAATTTGAGGTAAATGGATCTAAATGGGTCTAATTTTATATAAATGACCTATTTAATTAAATGGGTAGTCATACCTATTTTAACATCACTATAGATAATGAAGAGCACATGCAACTCCAGTTATTATATGAACTCACTGAGACCAACCAAGAATGTTGCCATTGAACAAGTAATCATAAAGACTTCCATTAGGTATAGACTCGTAGACTATTAGCAATTCACCTTTCCTTCTACAATAGCCACGAAACTGAATCAACTTCCAGTGAACTAGTTTGCACATAATAGCAATTTATGATATATACTCTTGCATTCCATAGGTGACTCTCTTAACTGCAATTTGAGTACCATCAGAAAGATCACCTTTATAAACCTTTAGTTGCTTTGTAGAGGGCCCTATAGCCAATGCCCATCCAAGGACATATTGATGACTTTTGATTATACCTGTCAAACCTAAAATACATATGCTCTTTGAAGATTGTCGAAAGATCTATATATCTTGACAACACTCTTGTGTTGTTTAGTTTTCTTCTCTACAACACATGTTTTACCATATTATATGGTCCATATACAAACTTTGAAAGTACATTAAACTTTTATTTTACAAAACATTGTTTTTCATTATTTTGGATCTTGGTGCTCACATCACGAAAATTTATATAAACTACACGATTTGAAATGATTTCACATATAGAAGAGTTAAAAAACTATAAATCACTCCATTTAGTTTAAATTTTTTTGTTTAGTAATATTTCCTTTAATGATTAGTGACTTTCAAATGATGTAACATGTTTGGGTTACACAACCTTAATTTGTTTAAACATATTTGTATACCAAGTTTATGCTGTCTCGACAATGCATATTTTAATCAACATTGTCTCGAAATTGCATTTCACATCTTTAATGCTTTTATATAAAAAAAATTATATTCATTAGTCAATACATAATTGATAATTATATCCAACAAAATAGTTTCAAATTTACTTTTTGTAGGTTAACTAGTCTTTCTTATGTCTTTTGAAAGATCAACACCATCTACAAATTTGTATGACATATTACTAAAAATTATTTTGATTACTATTAATCAATGTATCATGGTGTAAGAATACACACATTTAAAATCGATTGATGATTGAAACATTTATAAGTCTTTATTTACACACACACACACACATACATATATATGTACAATGTTGGTTGAAGTAAAAACAACTAGAAGTAAATATGTGTTATTTATTGATAACGTTATTCATATGGATCAAATAAATGTTTGATGCAAGTTAAAACAAACATTCATATTATATTTTTATTAATTGTTAACGTTACCAATTCAACAACAAAATTTGTTACCAAAAAAAAATAAAAAAAATCAACAACAATCTATTCTTCTGCAATTGTCATCATATTTATTCGATAAATCATCTTTGCTTGGTAGAAACTTTTTATTACTTAAAAAAATATTTAGCTATCAATGATTAATGGTTTCAGAATTTTGATGTAAATGCAAGTTTGTTTTACATAAACAAGAGGTATTTAACATCTTTAAACAAAATTTGTGTTGAATTAACCAAGCAAATTTGGATTAATAGTGTCTAAAATAGCAAATTTATAGCTTGCAACATTCCAAAAGCTTGTAATATTATTTCAACAATTTTGAACTCATTTTATGAAATTTTAGCAAAAAATTTCTATTTTTTGTTGTTGTCACAACACAATTGATAAATATCTCTGAGAAAATAATATCATAATTATAAACGATAAATTACAAAATTATTTCAAAAACATGATTGATATTACTATATTAGTGTCTTCTGAAACGTAATTATTTTTAATATTTTGGGTCCAATAATAGGCCCATTAATTGGCCCAATAGAGAAACTCCCGCTCCTCAGCCTACAACTCTCCCGCGCTTTCTTGACGAATCCTTTTCCTCTTTGGCGCACACTGTTGCACTCACGAACAGAGAAAAGTGAAGAAGAAGCAGTAAAAATGGAAGTGATTCGTTCTCAGAAGCGAACAGTCTCCAACGACATCGTTTCAACTCCCACGCTTCCCCTCTATCTTACAGCTCCACCCATGGAAGTCCGCTTAGAAGAGTTCGAGCTCTTCGCCATTGATCGCTTACGAGGTTTCAATCAAATTAACCCAAAATGTTGTTTCTTTAGAGGAGAATTCAATCTGGGTTTTCGAAAAAAATTGTTAATTTTTCTTTGTAATAATAGTTCTGAAAGGAGTCTCAGATGGATTAGCTCGTGGACGAAACCCTAACGAAATGGATGATCTTGTAAGTTCATAAAAATTTGATTTTTATAGTGACAGTTTCAAGATTTTGTTATTTAAAAGCCCATTTCTTTATGATTGTAGGTTGATACTTTGTGGAAAGAACATATGAGACTACCTGATGTTTCAGAAATGATCAACAAGGATATAATCTCACATTTCGTTCTACGTCTCGTTTATTGTAGATCGTAAGCTCCTTGTCTTGTGTCTTACGATTTTTTGTTTATCTTTGATTTTGTGTTCCACTAGTTTATTACTTTAGTCTTTCTTGATTTTGGCTTTAGGGATGAATTGAAGAAATGGTTTCTTAGTATGGAAACTGCTCTTTTCCGCCATAGATTCCGGATAAAAAAGATTGAAGAACAGGTACTTCTGCCTTCATTCTTGTTCGATGTGTCGGATGCCGACTGGCGCCTAAGTTTTGCTTTTTGTTTTTTTTGTTCACAGAGAACAATTGTGGGAGAATTTGGATTACCTTATAAAGCAGTCATAGGGGCAGAACTTGAGGTAATTGTTAGATTCAGAGTTTTCCAGAAATACGTATCCGCACTTTTATATTGTTACATTGCCCTACGATATTCCAGGATTGTGGCTGGTGGTTATTCAGAATTTGAATGGTTGAGAGGTTAAAGAAATTGATTTTTGACTATTTGCAGAGTTTGAAGGAGAGGTTGGGGCTGGTTGCACGTTCACTTGGTCAAATTTCATCTGATGGTAATGATCAGATAAATCTCAAATTCCTTTTCTGTCTCTTAGCTATGGCGTTTGTCATCGTCTTGCAATGCAGTTTTGGTATCCTTTAGTATTAACACAACATAGTAGCAGCATATCTGGTGATTTATCTTTTCAATATTTTATCTTCTTAATGAATTGAATTGTGTTGTAGTTCTATACACTTTTAGCTTCATCTAGTCCAGAAATTTTATCTTCTTCACCTGAATTATTTAGCTATAAGACTTGTACCTTTTCTAATAGAAAATTTCTTGTCTTTCCTATCTTTTTTGCAGTTGAAAACATATACTACAAGGTTGGTCTTCCTTTTCTTTTGTATTTGATCATATACTACAACCTACAAATTCATTTATCTGAGCAGTTATTCGTTTTCACCTGAAAAAGGTTCCTTTTGAAGAGGTTCCTGACCTTGTAGCTGGCCGGAGAGTATTGTTACAGAAAGGATATGCCTTTGTAGCTGGTAGTCAGGTAAGTCATGGTTTGATTTCAATTTGACAACTTACTTCTTCTCAGTAGATGGTAGTGTCTCTTTAAATAACTCGGATTTCCTTACTTATCCTTGCAGTTGGTTTCCCTTGTTGTCACCCAATTTCGATCTCACTTATCAAAGGCCCTCATTCTGACAAACAGGTTATTCTGGTTATATGAATATTTCGAAGTCCCTTTTATATCCAACGCACCTTATTAACCGGAGTTTTCTTTTTGTTTGCAGAAAATGGACAACTACCATTCGAGAAAGAGAAAAAGACAGACTAACTCCTGTAAGCACAAACCTGAATCAACTTTTGTATTTCATGTGCCCTGTTTCTGTAACTTATCATTCTTCTCATTTCAGATAGTAGAAGCCTTATCTACAAGCTACTTGGGTCCTGATTATACTCAGGTGAGACTCGTTCTTTGAAACTTTGTCATATACATTTATATAGATTTGAAATCATTGAAGTTGTTAATATGCCTCCACAGTCAAGCGAGTACGCTGACATATCACTGAAGGATATTGATCAAGTTTCCAAGAGTTCCTTTCCCCTTTGTATGAGGCATCTATTTGAAAAAGTAAGTCCCCTCATGGCTTCCAAATCTTCGATCCTTCATTAGTTACATATCCTACTCCCATGCAACTGTAACATGTGAATGTTAACACACAGCTTCGAGAAGATCACCATCTCAAACATGGAGGAAGAATGCAACTGGGTCTTTTCTTGAAGGTTTCAATTTAACCTTTCTTCCCTTGTCAAGTTTTGTAGTATCTGAATGCAATATGATGCAGATAGATTCACTTCTAGATGAGGCTAGACGTAATAACATTTATATTGGGCATCCTTCGTTGTAAATAAGCACTGGCTCTTGTTTCATGTTCTGTATTCTGGTTGAACCTCTTTGAAGTTGTCTACCGGCATGTAGGGTGTAGGTCTGAAGTTGGATGACGCCCTAGCATTTTGGAGAGAAGAATTCACAAAAAAGGTAACTTGATTCTCAAATGTTTAACAGCTTTGAAGTTTCCTATTTCATGTCTCTTGTAGAGGTTAATAATGTGTATCACGGCCAGTTTAGACCAACCAAAAGAAGCTAGTTTCTCGTGGTCCTCAACCCTTTTTTCCATGTTTTTGTGTGTAATAGCAAATTGGAATGAGGAGATGTTGGGTAGACATTTGTCTGCAGAAAGTAAATAATAATCTGTTAGATACCTTTTTTCCTTTTTATCCTCAGGTTGGCTCTGAGAGATTTGATAAAGAGTATGCGTATGCCATTCGCCATAACTATGGAAAGGAAGGCAAGAGAACAGTAAGAACCTAACTGTCCTTTTAGGCCAATTTTCAAAGTTTTCATGTCTTCTTTAATGGATCAGCTTCTGATACCAAATTCACGTTACAATTTCAGGATTATACCCCTTATGCTTGTTCAAAGATCATCACATCGGCTCCTGGTGTTGGGGATCATCATGGCTGTCCTTACCGACATTTCAGGTCAGTTTTCTCAGTAAAAGTAAGTTATCATTCTGTGAAAGCAAAGGGAAAGCGTTTTATATTATTCATGTGGTATCTGTTATCCATAATCGCATATCAACACTACCAGCGGCCGAAAATAATGAAGCTTTTGTTCTAGTTTTCGTATATTTCTTGATTAGTGAACATAAGGAGAGCATCTTTACAGAAACAAAAACTCCTTCGTATGTGCTTAAAAGCGCCTTCAAGTGCATACATGGCTTACTTTTTTTGTTCAACAGAAGTTGTTGCCGTTGTCTATAGCTTTAAAGCAAAACACTACTACATATGTAAAGAATGAGAATGATTTGGTGAATCCCAAAAGTAATCTATATGCATTCTGGTGCTTGGTGACAGTGAGGATAACCTGAAGGCAGCACTTAATAGGATGGGATTAAGTTCTCGTGGGATGGAAGACGTAATGGATAAAGTGCGGAACAAACATTATCAGGTGACTGATCTCAGTAAACCCTTAAATCATTTTATTTCTTAGATTTTAGCAATAACTAACAGAGTCGTCTTCATATGCATGTGGTGGACTCTTCAAAACTAAAGCTTGCATGCACCTTAACCTTTGAAGCTGTTTATGGTACATCTTGTGATACTGGGATCAACCATCCCAACCAATACTTTGAGGAGAGTCAAAAGATTTTGAAATCCAAGACCCCAGCTGCTCCGGTTTAGTCTCCCGTATGGTTCAATGTACTCTGTGACAGATAAGAATTATAATCTTCAGTTCAATGATATTATTACCATATCTTAAAATGCTAAGCATATAGATATTATGGGTCCAGAATATATTGAATTTGCAGAAAACGACAATTAGGAGTGTCAGTTAAAAGTCAGGCACATGTTTCTTTAAATTATTCAAGAAGATGAATGAAGTGAATCTCTTTTGCTCACATATCTGTCTGTCCTCGTGATCTGCAGTAAAAATATCCAATTGTGTACTACTATATGATGATAAGCAGCATCTAATAAGATAACGTCATAGTAAGGTTTTAAACGCGTTTTGTCGAAAAAAAAAAAAAAAAAAAAAAAAAAAACGCGTTTTATATTTATTTATTTTTGACATTGTTATAAATTATACGCTTTTTTTCTAAGAGGAACCGAGTTCGAACTCGAATTTGGTGAAAAAATAACAGAGGTGAGAACCACTATTCTATTTGCTCATTCTCAAAAAACATTTTAATTTAATGATTTAAATTTCAAAGATGAACTAAGTGGTTTTTATTTCGGAGGTTTCAAGAGAAGTTGTTATGTTAGTGAAATCGATTTTTTTTAAATATGAAAATATTAGTCATTGCTATTTAGTCACATGTAGAGATTACGAGCTTTGGCTCCGAATCTCATAATTATCAAAAAAAAAAATTTAAGATGAGAAATCTTTTCTACAAACATATTCAAATTGCCAATTTTCTCAAAAAGAGTCAAAAAAGTGAAAGATGGTGTCGCCTAAAAACATAAAAACAAGAAAGTCAAGACTGAAGGAAATTTGTGATTCGATGTCTCTTACTCTTTTTTGTTCAGAATGTAGTTTGTTACTATTTTTATGATTGTTCACAGAAATTGCTTAGAGAAGAAGGTAAGGGAACAAGAGAATAAAATCATTGATGGTATTGGTGGGTCATAATTACATAGAAAATATTGAAGATGACAATGGAGGAAGAGAACAAGTACAGTATATAGTTCCAGATCAGATTGCAAAAAACAATTCAAACTCATAGAATCATTTTTAGTTTAATAATATATTGAATCATCCCAAAATATTTTATGACTCAACAGTCAACTCCATAAACCTTACTCACATATAAAATATCACCAGAATGAATGAGATGACAAAATTACATTTTGTATATATAGATGGTCATGATGACATATCTAAAACTCACATATATAAAACAGATAAAGAAACCAATGTATGTATAATGTGTTGTATTTTGATAAAAAAAAACTTGAGAATCCAACAACTTTTATTTTATATTATTTTCACTTATTATAAAAATCTATATACTAATCCATCCAATTCGATGAGAATATAAACGATTATGACCGCCTAAATCGGTAAATTGATTTAATTCACTAATTTTACTACAATTAGAACAATAACAATACGAGGCCGGAGGCTCATGAATACCTAGAGACAGATGCCTAATTGCCATATATGGCTTAGGTGTACCGTACCTAAACATCACATTAATCAAATGAATCTTTAACATATATGTCTATTTATCATTTATGTATCATAATTTTTTCTTAATCATATTATTTCTTCGTGGTAATAACTTTTTAAAAGTTAAAATGATAATTTATCATAAAACATACAATACTAAAGTTTGTTAAAAAAATTAGTCGACGTATTCAACAATGAGAAGAAAAATTTGTCGACGAATTTTTTGTCACATCTTAGTATCATTTATTTCTTTTTTGGCAGTTTCTTAAATACAATCTTATCACCAATTTCCTAATTATGGAAAATGTTATGTAGCTAAATATCATTTTCAGAGTATTTCAGATCTTGGACACTTATTTTTTCTCCTTTAAATTGATGTGGACGATATTTTCATAGTATTATTTAGATAGTATTATTGAAATGTATTTTACTATTTTACATTAAAAACAAAAATGCTCAAACAAAACTAATGGATAATACAAAATTGACACTTATACCCTCAAGCCATTCACTAGCAAGCATGTATAATTTTTGTCGACGTGCTCTCTAGTTCTCTCTCTACGTAGCTAAAGTCAAACGAGACTGGGGTTAATTACGTAATTTCCCTTCATAACTCCCATGACGTACACGTGTTAATTTTTATTTATTTAATCTATTCTGCCGACTCCTTTAAAAACACAATAAGACGCTGTAAGATCGTGCCACGTGGATATCAATAATTCGATTGAACTAATGATATCATTCGGTAAACATGGGTAGCGTCGCAGGGGATTTATACTCTTCAACCTGTGACATAGCAACCATCTTCGTGGCTATCTGTCGGAACCCTCCTTTGAGATTCTTATTTTCGTCAGTCCATAGTCAAATTTTTACACCATCTTTGTCGTTTATATCCTTTCTTCTTACTTTTTTTTTTTTTTTTCATTCGTACTGGTTTGTTTAACGACTCCTCCACTAGTTCTGATCTCATGTTTGAGCTGATAGATTGAATCACGACTTCAATTTCGTCTTCAATCGATATGCAATCCGGTGAGGGGTTTCTCCATTTTCTCTCTTTTGTTTCGAAAGTACTAAACTTTGTGTTTTTTGATGACTAAAGGTGAAACCTTTTGTGTTTTTTTCTCAGAATATGATATTGGTACTCTGTACCAAGAAGCTCGGACCCGTTGGTTGAAACCTCCTGAGGTTCAATTCATATTGCAGAATTATGAGAGATTGAAGCTTACTGATACGGCTCCTCAAAGGCCTGCGAGTATGTTTGACTTGCTTCTCTGACTTTGAACTTACTTGTTTGGTTTTTGATTTGAGTTTGATTTGACTAATTTTTGGTAAAACTGATATATCTCAGGTGGGTCTTTGTTTCTTTTCAATAAAAGGGTTCTTAAATTCTTCCGTAAAGATGGTCATCAATGGCGTAGAAAAAGGGATGGTAGAGCTATTGCAGAAGCACACGAGCGACTTAAGGTATTGGGGATTATGAACTTTGTCTGATCTCTCTGTTTCTGCATACTCTTAGATGTTATCATGACTTAAGTTTTTTTTTTTAAACTATGATCTTAGATGTTAGTTTGCTAGTTGTTATGACTATTCCAGTCTCCAAAATATGGTCTTTTGCAACTTAAGATATGTTGTTCTTTATGTTATCAATGACAATTCCAGTCTCCAAGATTTTGTGTGTTTGCAATTCTTAAGGTTGGTAATGAATCTTTTGATTGGTGTGTTTGTGAACAGGTGGGTAACGCCGAGGCCTTGAATTGTTATTATGCGCATGGAGAGCACGATCCCACTTTTAGGAGACGTATCTACTGGATGCTAGATCCGTGAGTCATGTTCTCATACTATTTGTGTATAATTTACTCCTGTTTTTTTCTCAAAAATGAATATAAAGTTTATTGCTCTTTCTTTTCAGGGAATATGAGCATATTGTCCTTGTGCATTACAGGGATGTAAGCGACCGAGAAGAGGTGACTTCTCCAATAAGACACATTTGTTATACTTAAGCAGAACTCTAGTTTCGTTGTATGACCTCAAAGTTGGCTTAAATTTTCAGGGAAATCAAACAAATGGACAAGTTTATCAGTTTGCACCAGTTCCTACGACTCATTTTTCAAGTCCAAACTCCATCGGGACTCAGAATGCGAGCTATAATCACTACATTGGTGATTCTACTGACATACATCAGCATTCATCTACTTCTCATGGCACTGCAGAGGTTATCTCTGAACTTGAAGGCAGTGCAAGTTCTTCTGAGTTAGGGCAAGCTTTAAAGAAGCTTAAAGAACAACTGAGTATCGGAGATGAACACGTTGATTCTATAGATCCACCCTACATTCAGCCGGAAAGTCTCGACAGTCTCCAGTTTTTAGGGTGTAGTAATGACATTGATCACCTTCCTCAACCAACAACTAGATATCAGAGACCAGAGAATAACAAACTGGAGCGATGTTACGGAGGCAATTTTGGAGCTCAATACAATGCCAAGAATGATTCAAACAAACTAGAGAGATGCTATGGAGGGTATGTCGGAGCCCAAGACCGTTCTAGCAATCTCATGCTCGTAAAGAATGATTCAGGTGCGCCAAAATTAGACAGCATTGGTTTTTCTTTCTATTTTCTCACGATATGATGTTAAGGCTACTCAATATTCGAAAGATGATTAGGGAAGTATTTATGTTCATTCACAGTGAATTTCACTAGCCTGTCTGAGAAGGTTTATTGGTCATTGATTATAGCAGACTTTATTAAACGATCTGTATTTTATTCATCTATATGCCATGCCCTTGAAGTCTTGTCTTGCTTCTTCCTTGTTTGTCTTGTCTATGCGCGGAACTGAAGAATGGTAGATATTTATTAGGAAGAATAAATACCAATCTTTTTACAGGTGGTACAGGAGGGAGTGTAGATGAAGGGTCCGGATCTTGGAAAGATGTGTTGGAGGCATGTGAGGCCACTATACCTCATAACTCCGAGGTAACTCTCTCGTATATGTATATAAAATGTGGGATAAAACAAGGAAGACTATCTTTTCTAATAATTATAAACAAAAGGAATCCGAACAGTGACTTCATAAAAAGGAACACGACGAATGAACCAAATGTATTAGACTAATTACTAATAGCAGTTGAAGATTAGACTTTCCAAAATGATAAGTAAAAAGTTTATAGTCAAGGAATTTATTTACTTTTGTTTGAAAGCAGGGAAGCACACCAAGTTCAGCTAAAGGAATACTAGCTGGAATCCAGGAAGATTCAAACTGGAGTTACAGCAATCAGGTTGACCAATGTATGTCATCTGCTTTGCTAAAGTATACTGTTAGGCTTCATACCTTACTTCTGTCTGTAATGATAGTTGTCTTAAATTTCAGCTACATTTTTGTTGCCTCAAGATCTTGGTTCTTTCGAAGTACCTGCTTCTTATTCTGCACTGGGAGCTCCTGAGGATAATGGTGAGTACTGTCCAATGATGGATGATGGAGGGGAATTCGAGCTGCCTTTCGAGCAAGAAATGAGCCAGACTGGTGCACATCAGCTAAAGTTTACTATTCAGGACATATCACCAGAGTGGGGTTACGTGAATGAAACCACAAAGGTCTAATCTCTTACACTTACGCAAATGCCTCTCATAATTGATATACATGAAAAATATGTTATTTTCTTGCCTTGTTAGAACAAATGTTGGTAATCAGTTGGACATTTCGTTTTGAATTTTCATTATGATATATTGATAATGCAGGTGATAATCATTGGATCGTTTCTCTGTGATCCAGCAGAATCTATGTGGTCTTGCATGTTTGGGAGTGCTAAAGTTCCTATTGAGATCATTAAGGAAGGTGTTATTCGATGTAAGGCCCCTCCATGTGGTCCTGGGAAAGTCAATCTATGCGTTACTTCTGCAGATGGACTCTCATGTAGTGAAATAAGGGAATTTGAGTATCGCGATAAGCCTGACACATCTTGCCTTAAGTGCACTTTGTCACAGACCTCTGATATGTCCACAAGTACAGATCAGCTTTTATTACTTGTAAAGTTTGTACAAACACTTATGTCAGACCAACGATCAGAAGGAGAGAGTAACTCAGAGTTGGGCAATGATAAGCGGTTGAAGAAACTGAAAGCAGATGATGATCAATGGACCCATGTCATAGGAGAGATCCGAGATGGCAGTTCATCGTCAACAAGAAGAGTTGATTGGCTTCTACAGGAACTGCTTAAAGACAAGCTGGAAGCTTGGCTCTCTTCAAGATCCAAAGATAGAGATTCTTGGTCAAAGCAAGAACAATGCATTATCCATATGATTGCAGGCCTTGGCTTCGAGTGGGCACTCTATCCAATCCTTGGTCATGGTGTCAGTGTTGATTTTCGTGATATTAACGGATGGAGCGCTCTTCATTGGGCTGCACGGTTTGGGAGGTGAGTAACACTGTCATTTCAAATTTTTTGATTCAAGCAGAAAATAGTTTCTTAATGTCTTAGCATCTTAAGTAAAATATTTTTTTCAGTTAGTCAATGTAGAAAAGAATGTAAGATATCCTTTTCTTAGACAACAGCTTCAAATAAATCTAACAACCGATACTGTGTTCTTTGATAGTGAAAAAATGGTGGCTGCCCTTATAGCTTCAGGAGCATCAGCTGGAGCAGTGACTGATCCCAGTCAGCAAGACCCAAATGGCAAAACTGCGGCTTCAATAGCTGCCTCTAATGGCCACAAGGGTATTGCAGGTTATCTATCAGAGGTGGCGTTAACAAACCATCTCTCATCGCTCACACTTGGAGAAACCGAGATTTCGAAAGATTCTGCGCAAGTGCAAGCAGAGATAACAGTGAATTCGATCTCAGAACCAGGTCCTTCCGATAATGAGGATCAAATTTCACTGGAAAAAACGTTGGCTGCAGTACGAAATGCAGCTCAAGCAGCCACACGAATTCAGGAAGCTTTTCGCGCACATTCATTCAGAAAGCGAAAGCAGAGAGAAGCAGCTATGGCTGCCTGCTTACAAGAGTACGGAATCTATTGTGAAGATATTGAAGGGATCTCAGCCATGTCAAAGCTAACGTTTGGAAATGTGAAGAACTACCATTCAGCAGCTCTATCTATTCAGAAAAAGTATCGTGGCTATAAAGGTCGAAAAGAGTTTCTGGAGCTTCGCCAGAAAGTTGTGAAGATTCAGGTATTTAACAGCTCTGGTGAGATGAACGTAGTCCTTTCCCATTAGGCGTTGCCTTACGCTCTTCTATTTCTGGCAGGCTCATGTGCGAGGTTACCAAATAAGGAAGCATTACAAGGTAATCTGTTGGGCAGTAGGAGTTTTGGATAAGGTTGTACTCAGGTGGAGAAGAAAAGGAGCTGGGCTAAGAGGGTTCAGGCAAGACGTAGAAACTACAGATGACAGTGAAGATGAAGACATTCTCAAGGTGTTCCGCAAGCAGAAAGTAGATGGTGCAGTGAACGAAGCTTTCTCTCGTGTTCTATCGATGGCCAATTCTCCAGAAGCTCGCCAGCAATACCACCGCGTGCTCAAGAGATATTGTCAGACAAAGGTTAGTACTTTACAAGAGATGATTTTAAAAGGTTTTAAATAATCATGGTGGACTTGTTTTAGTATTTCTCCTCATAACTTAGGATTAAGTGATATGAACCACTCCGATAACAGGTTCCATAAACTAAGTCCACTAAAACCTATAAGTAAACCTACCTAAAACCTAGTTTAAGAATGTCTATGTGAATTTTAAGACACTATTTAGTCTCAATTTCGAACCACTGCAAGATATTTTGTTCTTCTCCTACCAAACCTTTTGTGTTCGAGGATTCGATCATCTTCAACCAAAATCCAATAAAACTGGTAGATAGATACCACCTAAAATCGAATTTTCATAATGCCACTCGTGAGTAACGTGGAACATTTAGTAGAAAAATCAGTATTAGAATTGAGGAGCTGAATGAAGATTCATGAATGAACTTTTACAGGCAGAGCTTGGAAAAACAGAGACATTAGTTGGAGATGATGATGATGGATTGTTCGACATAGCTGATATGGAATTTAACTCGTTGTTTACACTGCCTTGAGGGAAAAGATAGGCAAGAAGAGCTGTGTGGGTTGTAGAGGTTTATCAAGTGTGTAGATTTGTGAAGTTTCAAGAGTGAGTAGCTTAGATTTATAAGAGTTGCAGAGAAGAAGAAAAAAACAAAAGGGAAAAGCCCTTGTTACTGTTAGTAGCGTCTGTAAAAAAGGGTCTCACTGTGGCTAACTTAAAAGCTTGAATGCTTCGATGTTGGTTGGAAAATTCAAAACAATGTAAATACAACAAAATTTGTGATCTCATTTTTTTATGTATTTACACCTCCAGAACAAAATTGGGCATGAGTTTAATTGTTATGGTAATATGTTTCTTTCTAATGTGACATGTAATTCATAAAAATGGAAGTATTAGACTGATATATTGGTGGGGATTTGCTTAAACCGGAGCCATTGTACTGTATTTGTTTGCCTAAATACTGTATTTTTTGTACTTTTAACATTGAGAATTTATGAAACTGAGGTTAGGTTATTTGCATTTTAAGTTTAGGTGTTTGGTTTTGTTATGACGTTATGCTACAAATTAAATGGGTTTGATAAAATTCGATAACCACCGACAAAAAAAATTCGATAACCACCGACAAAAAAAATTCGATAACCATGTGATTAAAACAAGAAAAAACATTTTTGTAGCAGCTAAACCATGGACCAAAAATAAAATAAAAATAAAAATATTATTTTATGATCATATGTCGGCATTGCAATTTTCCTACATTTTGCAAATTAGCAGCAAAACAGAGTAAAATATAGTTTTTCAACTAAACTAAAATAAAATAAAATAGAAAATATTAACGGAAAATTAATTCTGTTATCTTATTTTTCTATAATTTTACAATATGTCTAAAATAACCAAGTTATCAATTTTTTTTTTTTTTTTTGTGAAACTCTGAGATTTAAATAACATTTCAAAAATTTCATTCGAAAGTTTTGAACTTTTATACATTTTCTTCAAATTAATTTATAACTACACATGTCTAAAACAACTAATTTATATCTAGAAATGTCTAAAACTTTCTCAATAAATATATTAGAAAAATAAGTCACCAAATAAAGCACATTTTATGAGGTAAACAACATAAAACAGGTGACACGTGCCTCATTTCAGCCGTTAAATCTACGCGAAAATGAATTTACCTTTTTTTTTTTTTTTTTTTTTTTGGTCGTCTTGTCTCTCTATCGAAACAGACCCCTTTGCGCACTTTAGCAACCACCGTCACCACCACCATTCTCATTCACGGATGCTTCTTCTCACTGAAGACGAACAAGCTTCTCGGATCTCTCTCTTTTCACAAATCTCACCTCTTCCACCGATCTGTATGTTTTTTTTCTTCCCTTCTTCCGCCATTTTTTGATTTCAAGTTTCCTCTCTTCTCGTCGTCTTTCCTCTAATTCGATTTAGCTTTGATTGTGAACTGTGTGTTTCTCGAAACGATTTCGAATTTCGTTGTAATCTGAATCGTACTCTGGTGAAATCAGGTATTACGGTGACGTATGTGGGGATTGCAACGAGAAACGTCGTCGATGTACAAGAGAACGTCATCGAGAGATTATTCTCCGATGCTTGACGTTGAAGATAGCTCAGGTAAGCGCACACACACACATGACACATGCATCTCTTTTTTAGCAACTTTTTTGAAGTTTTAGCTAACTTTTTCAATTTGTGCCTTTTTATCTTCAGGTCTTATAGAGAATGAGATGAACAATGAAATGGAAACTACAAATCCTTCATGGAAGTGTTCTCTCCCACATGTCCTTGTGGCTACGATTTCTTCGTTTCTATTTGGTTACCACTTAGGGTTCGTGTGATTGATCTCAACTCTTCCTCTTCTTCTTTAAGTTTAAAATTACTTGTGTTGATTTGATTTTAACGTTTTTTGTTTTTTATTTGTGGCTACAGAGTTGTTAATGAGCCGCTTGAAAGCATTTCTTCTGACCTTGGTTTTAGTGGTGATACATTAGCAGAAGGTATTCATTTTACTTCTGATTTCTATATGGCAGTGATCACTACATTTACTACTATTTTTTTTATAAGTTCTGTTTGCTTCATATGTGAAGGGTTGGTGGTTAGTGTTTGTCTTGGTGGTGCATTTATCGGATCTTTATTCAGTGGTGGAGTTGCTGATGGTCTTGGAAGGCGGAGAGCCTTTCAGCTTTGTGCTTTGCCTATGATTTTGGGTGCTTTTGTTAGGTAACTTCAGAATTTCCTCTGAGCTTTTTCTTACTAAATTGTAGCTAAACTTTAGCTTATCTCATAGATAGATCTTGTTGTGACTCCTGGCTAGTGTTCTTTAAGCATGACTAGCGAATTGTCATGGCAAAGCTATTGTGATAAAAAAGAGGCAATGTAATTACACTTATAAGTGTTGACAATTCTTCATTAGAGATAGTAAATGATACCTGCATATTTTTGGTGACTTTTAGAGTACATAAATGGTTCCATCGAACCAAAACATACCAGAAGCAATATCCTGTTTTCAGAATTACAATGTGTTAGGTCCAGATTTGATTTTCTCTTTTATTCGCTAAGTGAAGACATGCAATGCTAAAATCTGTTTTTCTTTCAGTGGACTTAGCAACAGTTTAGCTGTCATGCTTTTGGGAAGATTCTTGGTTGGGACTGGTATGGGTCTTGGGCCACCTGTGGCAGCACTCTATGTGACAGAGGTAAATCAATACTGTCTGATCATGGATCTTACTGCAAAAAATTTACAGCGGCCTGGCTTCTTATGCAAAACTTTCCAAAATTTTAAGTAGGTATCACCAGCTTTTGTAAGGGGAACATATGGAAGCTTCATACAGATAGCTACATGTTTGGGACTGATGGCAGCCCTGTTTATAGGGATCCCAGTCCATAACATCGCTGGTTGGTAAGAAAGTATCACTTTTTGCTGTATCTATCATTAACTCTAGTAGACTCAACTTTTTCTATTACTCTCTAAAACGTCTTGATCATCTATGTGGTTATGGTACCTAGGTGGCGTGTCTGTTTCTGGGTATCCACGATACCTGCTGCAGTGCTTGCTCTGGGGATGTTCCTCTGTGCTGAATCTCCCCAGTGGTTATTCAAGGTCAGCTTCATTACAATGCATAATCACAGAGACTTGTGAACTCTACATCAATGCTTTGTCGTCGTTGAGCCTGAAAACTGCACTTAATTTTACTCTTGCTCCACATTTCTTTCCATTTTTGATTGAACGGCCTATGCTTTATGCAGCAAGGGAAGATAGCTGAAGCAGAAGCTGAGTTTGAGAGGCTACTTGGAGGGTCTCATGTGAAAACAGCAATGGCAGAATTACACCAACTAGATCTAGACAGAACGGATGAACCAGATGCTGTGAGCATCTCAGAGCTGTTATATGGTCGACATTCAAGAGGTATATTATATATATCTTTTTTATATCGAGAAGATAACTGCAAACTTGTGTATGTTGTGTATTCTTGTGTCTATCTGTTTCTTGTATAGTACTTTGTTATTCACTTGTTCCTTTTGCAGTTGTTTTTATTGGATCAACCCTGTTTGCTTTGCAACAGCTATCTGGTATAAATGCTGTTTTTTATTTCTCTTCTACCGTTTTCAAAAGTGCCGGAGTACCATCGGACCTGGGCAACATCTTTGTTGGAGTTTCAAACCTCTTTGGTACAGTACCCTTCCCCACAACTGTTTATCCTCTGTCTTTTCAAATATATGGATCTCCGATTCTAATACTGTTCTCATTATCAGGATCTTTAGTTGCGATGGTGTTGATGGATAAAGTAGGAAGAAAGCTTCTTCTCCTTTGGAGTTTTATTGGCATGGTTTGTAGTACATTTCTTTCCAAAATTCTTATTATCAATGCTATTACGATTTTATATATTGTGTATCAGATCAATTGTTTTTGATGTGTATAGGCAGCAGCAATGGCACTTCAAGTTGGTGCTACAAGTTCATACTTACCACATTATTCAGCGTTGTGTCTATCTGTCGGTGGCACTCTTGTGTAAGTGTTTATCGAAACTGAGATGTAAATGGTTTATTCAATATTTGTTTGTTTCTAGTACAAATGTCATTTCTGCTGATACACACAGGTTTGTGCTAACATTCGCCTTAGGGGCTGGTCCAGTACCAGGTTTACTCCTCCCTGAAATCTTCCCAAGTCGAATCAGAGCAAAAGCTATGGCTTTCTGCATGTCTGTGCATTGGGTAATAATAATAAAAACTCGTCGGTTCTTGTCATCCCACGGATTGTGTTTCCGTTGCTTAACCTTGTTGGTTGTGGTTGGACAGGTGATAAATTTCTTTGTGGGTTTACTCTTTCTGAGGTTGCTTGAGCAGCTTGGTCCTCGGCTACTATACTCAATGTTCTCTACGTTCTGTTTAATGGCGGTGATGTTCGTGAAGCGGAACGTGATTGAAACCAAAGGCAAAACACTTCAAGAAATTGAGATCTCTCTGCTAGCCAAACCATGAATGTATTTTCGTTCTCTCCCTAGTAGAGTTCATACGTCTTGTTGCTCACTATTGTATAATCAAATAAAGATTTGGGTTCTCCGTAGAGTTCTATTAAATGTTAAATTTTACGTAAAAAAATCAATAATGTCAAGATTTTGAACTAATCTTAATTCTCTATATTAGGAAACTCGTGAGTTGTGTAAATGGTAACATGATAATGGCTGAATCAGTGGTAGAAATGGAATATCTGAAAGACTAAAACTAATAACTTACTAAAACAAATTTGATAAGATGCATAGTGATGTAAGTGTACAACAAAAATATCTAAGCATACATCCAAATTAGAGCATTTCACAACTTTATATCTTTTAACATTATTTTTGGTTTCCACAGCAAAGTTAACGATGGAAGCTAATGTGAGAAAAAGAAGAAATATAGCTAGTTAATTTTGTTCTTTTCTTACAGAACCACTCATACAAAAAGCATATAAAAAGAACCACCATACAAAAAGAAAGAAGACAAAAATGTATTAGAGGAAATAATTTGCTAACCACTCATTCCAATAAAGGAAATGTCAAAAATAAACACAAGTCAAAATAAAACTTGTAAATCCTCATATATATATATAAAGCATGTTCACCAGAAACAAAATCATCAACCAATTCAACCTGAGACCATCATTTCTTATTGTGTCCCAACCAAAACAGTTCAAAACTGTGACAAGAAATTAAAAAAATAAAACTACGAAAAATGAAAGAGTCAACAAGACTCTTGATATTATCCATCATTGTATTGGTGGCAGCCGTTTCTAATGCAGGAGTCACAGAGTTAGACCTCGTAAATCCAACTGATGATGATGGTTCATCAGATGGCATGATCAAACGTGAAGCCATCGAAGTAGACCCATCAAAATCTCAAAAAAACGACCAAGGCAATGACGATGGTTCATTGGATGGCATGATCAAACGTGAAGCCATCGAAGTAGACCCATCAAAATCTCAAAGAAGCGGCGAAGGCAATGACGATGGCATGATTAGACGTGAAGCCATCGAAGTAGACCCATCAAAATCTCAAAGAAGCGGCGAAGGCAACGACGATGGTTCATCAGATGGCATGATCAAACGTGAAGCCATTGAAGTAGACCCATCAAAATCTCAAAGAAGCGGCGAAGGCAATGATGATGGTTCATCAGATGTCATGATTAAACGTGAAGCCATCGAAGTAGATCCATCAAAATCTCAAAGACGCGGCGAAGGCAACGACGATGGTTTATCAGATGGCATGATCAAACGTGAAGCCATCGAAGTAGACCCATCAAAATCTCAAAGAAGCGGCGAAGGCAATGATGATGGTTCATCAGATGTCATGATTAAACGTGAAGCCATCGAAGTAGACCCATCAAAATCCAAAAGAAGCGACCAAGGCAAAGGCAAAGGCAAACATCGTGCCCGCCAGGCCGCGGCAGGCCCTGAGATGAATTGGCCTGGAAAATGGGAGTTGTTCATGAAAAATTCTGGTGTATCAGCCATGCACGCGATCCTAATGCCAGTGATCAACAAAGTTCAGTTTTACGACGCAACCATTTGGAGAATCTCACAGGTCAAGCTGCCTCCTGGTGTACCTTGCCATGTTTACGACCAAAAGGCTAATAAAGTTGATTGTTGGGCTCACTCTGTCCTCGTTGATATCAACACAGCAAACATCAGACCACTACTGGTAATAACAACATTACTATTTATAACTCCTTCCTATATATATAATGTTTTTGCTAAGAACACAGATTCTAAGTCATGTTTGATTGATCTGATGGATTTAATGGGAATATGACACAGCTTACAACAGACACATGGTGTTCTTCAGGAGGTTTAACCGTAAATGGGACATTGGTAAGCACAGGAGGTTTCGAAGGAGGAGCAAACACTGCAAGGTACCTTTCCACATGTGAAAACTGCGCATGGGTTGAATATCCACAGGCACTCGCTGCAAGGAGATGGTACTCAACACAAGCAACTCTACCCGATGGCACTTTCGTCGTTGTTGGAGGCCGAGACGCTCTCAACTACGAGTATATCCTCCCAGAGGGACAAAACAACAAGAAACTATATGACTCACTACTTCTTAGACAAACTGATGATCCAGAAGAAAACAATCTTTACCCTTTTGTTTGGCTCAACACTGATGGCAACCTCTTTATTTTCGCCAACAACCGATCAATCCTTCTTAGCCCGAAAACTAACAAAGTTCTCAAAGAGTTCCCTCAACTCCCTGGTGGTGCTCGTAACTACCCTGGCTCTTCCTCCTCTGCTCTTCTCCCTATCCGCCTCTACGTCCAAAACCCCGCTGTAATCCCAGCCGATGTCCTCATCTGTGGTGGCGCGAGGCAAGACGCTTACTTCCGAGCTGAGAAAAAGAAGCTTTACGACCCGGCTTTGAAAGACTGTGCAAGGATAAGCATCAATAGTGCTAAGCCTGTATGGAAAACAGAGTTCATGCCAATGTCAAGAGTGATGAGTGACACTGTGATCCTCCCTAACGGAGAAGTCCTTATAGTTAATGGTGCAAAACGTGGCTCCTCAGGTTGGCACTTAGCTAAAGAACCAAACTTTTCACCAATCATATACACACCTACAAAACCTTTAGGCAAACGTTTCAAAGAGCTAGCTCCTTCAACTATCCCTCGTATGTACCATTCCATAGCAATCGCTCTCCCTGATGGTAAAGTCCTTATCGGTGGAAGCAACACAAACGATGGATACCAATACAACGTTGAGTACCCAACAGAGCTCCGCGTAGAGAAATTCTCACCACCTTATCTCGATCCAGCTCTTGCCAACATGAGACCAAGAATCATTACCGCACCAAAACAGATCAAGTATGGGAAACCATTTGACGTTAGAATCGAGCTTAAACAACAAAACGTAGCAAAGGAGAATGTAATGTTGACGATGTTAGCACCAGCGTTTACTACACATAGTGTATCAATGAACATGAGGTTGCTCATGTTGGGAATCATGAATGTCAAGAACGTTGGTGGTGATAACCATCAGATCCAAGCCGTTGCTCCTCCAAGTGGAAACGTTGCTCCTCCTGGTTATTATATTTTCTCTGCCGTCTACAATGGTGTCCCCAGTGTTGGTGAATGGATCCAAATTGTTTGATTTTGTTGTTTTATTCAAGTAGTTAACAATTCACCTTTTCAAAGTTCGATTCCAACAAATCGCATTATTTTGCCACAATAAAATTGAATTATGTATCGATCTTTTAGTTTTCGACTATATAAATTTGAAAAATAAGAATTCCACTTTATTTTGTAACATTACAACAATTTTTTCATAAATGTGAATATATATATATATAAGATATATCAAACACAATCAATTAATTAAATAGTAAGTAAATGAATTCTAAGTAGTTTTTTTTTTCTTTTCATTTAACTAATTAGAATAATGTCGAAATATTACGACGATCGTTCAATTTTCTTTTAAATCTCCAAAAAATAATAATATAATAAAAATAACGAAAGCTTTATCTCTACCGTTGTCGTCACTTCCTCTCCGACGGAGAATAAGTACCCACCGCTTGAAGAAGAAGAAGACGACGATTCATAAACACACACTGACCTCTCAATCTCGCGGAAGAAGATGGTGAGGATCATTCCCATGGCGGCTTCCTCAATCCGACCTTCCCTTGGCTGCTTCTCCTCTTCATCTTCTCGCTTCCCCGTTTCCTACCTCTCCAGAAACCTCTCTCGCACTCTCCGTAATCATCCCTCCTCCACCTTCACATATATATAGATTACAATTTTGGAGAATCAATCATTTGTTCGATGGATTAGTGAATTCTAGAACTAGGGTTATGTGATATCGTTTGGGAATCAATCATTGTCATAGAATGAGTTTGTATAAGTTTGTATAAGTTTATCAATTTTGTTGCAGATGTTCCTCAATCACAGCTTTTTGGTTTCAATACACATAAGCTTTTGAGAAGAAATGTAAACTGTTTAGGAGTGGCTGAATCTGGTAAAGCAGAGCAAGCGAGCACTGCTACTAGTCAAGATGATCTTCTCACCTGGGTTAAAAATGACAAGAGGAGAATGCTTCATGTTGTTTACCGTGTTGGCGATTTGGACAGGACGATAAAGTACATAACTTTGAATTTTCTTGTGTTATGATTTGATGTTTTAATCTCTCAGAGTAGCAGATCTTTTGAGCACTCTCTGATGATTAAATGAGTCGTTTACTTGCTGCAGATTTTACACTGAATGTCTTGGAATGAAGCTTCTACGCAAGCGTGATATACCAGAAGAAAAATATACTAATGCTTTCCTTGGTTATGGTCCTGAAGATTCACACTTTGTGATTGAGCTCACTTATAGTAAGTCATATATGTTTCACTCCCGCTTTTATGCTTAGGACCCAGATTACTGTAGTTCATTTAGCTCCAGTGAGCCTTTGACTATGCATTTTATATAGAGATGATTGGTTTAACCTTCTTAATATGAATTTGTTTACAGATTATGGAGTTGACAAGTATGACGTTGGTGCTGGTTTTGGTCACTTTGGTATTGCTGTTGACGATGTAAGCTTCTCCAATCTATATGAAATTATGTCCTTTCTTTGAAATTTTTTTGATGTGTCTGGAGTTTACTCTTTCCACCACATGGTTTTATTTCTAAGATGTGAACTTTTCTTCCCAAAAAGGTGGCGAAAACTGTAGAGCTTGTGAAAGCCAAAGGGGGCAAAGTATCCCGGGAGCCTGGTCCTGTCAAAGGTGGGAAAACTGTAATCGCATTCATTGAAGATCCTGATGGTTACAAATTTGAACTCTTGGAAAGAGGTCCTACACCAGAACCTCTTTGCCAAGTTATGCTCCGTGTTGGTGATCTCGATAGGGCCATTAAGTTCTATGAGAAGGTGACTCCTATGATTTTTTGAGATGTGACAACTTATAGCCTGAACAACACAAACATTTAATCTGATATATTTTCAATTTCTCTTATCAGAATGCGTTCTTATCCTTTAATCATATGTGCTTGCTTTCTTTATAGGCCTTTGGAATGGAACTTCTGCGAACAAGAGACAACCCTGAGTACAAGGTAACTTGCAATGCCTCAACAATCTAATTCTTAGTAACCATGCAGCCTTAAACTTCCCTTGTCTATCTAGTGGTTATTTGATCGGTTTGATTTAGGTTTTGTATAAACTCACTTGCTGTAAGTGGTTCTTTGCAGTACACAATAGCCATGATGGGATATGGCCCAGAAGATAAATTTCCTGTCCTAGAGCTGACATATAACTATGGTGTCACTGAATATGATAAAGGAAATGCTTATGCTCAGGTAAGAGAAATTTAACATTCCGTTCGTCTATATTCCTTTTCAACTGGAGGGTAGGTTGGTAGCCAAAGTTTTAACTTGTTTGCTTGTATTTGATTACTGTCAGATTGCAATTGGGACGGATGATGTGTACAAAACTGCAGAAGCTATAAAAGTCTTTGGGGGAAAAATCACAAGGGAACCTGGTCCCTTACCGGGTATAAGCACAAAGATCACCGCGTGTCTAGATCCTGATGGTTGGAAATCGGTAAGATGTTTGTGTGTTGATACATATTCATATTGATGGAAAGAGCTCTGCATATCGCGTTTTTGAGTTTGAGACTTTCTGCTTTGCAGGTGTTTGTGGACAACATTGACTTTCTCAAGGAACTTGAGTGAGAGGAGAATGGAGAAAGGAGAAGAGAGGCAACAAATGCACGACAATGACTTATGAGGGAGACAAGAAGGGAGGCCTTGCTGTGTTACATCAGTTTGGGGTTTGATATAATATCTCTCGGTGCTGAGTATATTATTCAAAGTGAATGATTTGTTTTTTTTGGAATCTAGTATTCTAGACTTCTAGTGTAGTTGTTTTACAGGATAAGCCCCTTATTGCTTCTTTGTATATGAGTTCCACTTAACATCAATTGCCATTAAATAAGATGATAAGTGCATTTATAAACAAGAAAAAATCCATCTATCCAAACTATACAATGCATATTGGCTCTTCGGGGACACGTGAAAAGTTTTAACATTTGTAAAGCAAACATTTGTTATTTTTTTCTTCAAATCTTATGCCTAGTCGAAGTTACAAGGTATAAGAATTATACTAAAAGACCACCCACTTTGAAATCAATTTTTGAATGTCATTCTTTTTTCTTCTTTAATTATGTTTGATTCAAGATTTTTGTTTACGAGAGAAGCTACAAATAAAAGCTTATGGACAACTTAACCGGCTATATATTTATTCATACAAAAAAATTGTGAATTACTCTTAGTGAAACCAAAAAATTACGTTTGACAAGAAAAAATTGAAAACTACAAAACGACATCATTTCCATAAAACATAAACTTGTGTACGACGTCGTATTGATTTTTTAGTATTAAAAAGTTAACTTTAGCAACACAAAATTGAATGAGGCCAAACGTCGTCGTATAAATAATTCTATTCGACGTCGTTTGCCATGTTACCTAGGTTAACTTGGCTCTATAAAAGGATCATACTCACAGTTTTTAATGTCTTTATCATCTCCGTCGTATTGTTTCTTACTACAAAACAGCAAAAAAAACCCCATGAAAATTTGGGATTACTCGACCACGTCAATGAAGAAACTTCGAACCCGACTAAATTCAATTGCAAAAGGTATGTCCTGATAAAACATAGATAGCTTGAGATCTTTTACATTCATTCGATTTTATTTGAATTTTAAATATTTGCATTACTTTTTGATTTTCGATATTACTAAATACTTGTTCATGATCTTGTTAATTGTCTGATTGCTAGCTTGATGTTTATACTTTGTCTCACGAGTTTATAGTGAAAAGATAAAAAAAGTTCATATGTGGTAAAAATCATCTAAAGTTCATATAAAGCATCATAAAAAATCAGTGGATAAATGATATCATCTTTTTAGTTTGAAAATTATCCGAGATCGATGACCATCCAATAAGAAAGATGATATATGAAAGTTCTGGGTCTAGATCAAAATATTTTGATTTTTGCTATACATGATATTCATATCCGACTTGAATCTATTATCAAATTTATTTTCTTAAAGTATATATATGTGTGATTTAAAATATTAATTATGTTGTCCTTGATCATTTTTTAATTTATAAATATTTTTAACGTAACAAATTAATAAATATTTGATCAATTTATGATGTAATTTACGAGGAAGATATTGGGGATTGAGTTTGGGAAGACATATACAAAAATTAAAGTGAGATTGTGAGATCGTTCTCTCTTCTTATATAATAGATATAATCTTTAAAAAATGGAAAATAAAATATGTATTCAAATGTGTGGTTTGTCAATAGTAGGTGCTTACAAATTATTATATTTTTATCTACGTCCAACGACTCTAACGCCAGAATTGCTTTTACGCTTTCTCGCCATAACAACAACACACAATAGTGAAAGAATCAAACTTTGGGGAATAATAGAGATTAGAGAGATTAGAGAGTGTCTTAAGAACTAATTAACAATGTATGAGTAAGATTTGGAGAACGAATCTGAAAAAATAATGTAAAAGTTGAAGTGTGTAGAATCTGAGAGATAGTTCCCTCTTCTTTTATAATATATTGAAAATTCAAGAAAAAAAAATAAAAATAATAGTAATGTATCAAAGTGTGTTTTTTTCTTTCATTAATAGGTCTTTCTGGATATTTATCCTTTTATAGTACTGTATTCTATTCTAATATAAGTCTCTCATTGGTCTGAAATTTGAGATTATAGAAACAAATTATTTATTTCTTCTTTTTTGTAAATAAATTGGCATAATGTTTTTTTTTATAAACATTTGACTTTCACTAGAAATTTATATAATTAAATAGTAATTTATTATTCTACCATCCTATTCTACAAGTCAAATAAAAAACAATTCCGTCTATAAATTTTCTCTTTTTCCCTTTTTCTTCAGTTTACTATTTTATTATATAAATTTCTAGTCAATGTCAAATGTTTTTAAAAAAATCATTATGCCAATTTATTTACAAAAAAGAAGAAATAAATAATTTGTTTCTATAATCTCAAATTTTTGACCATTGAGAGCCTTATATTAGAATAGAATACAGTCCTATAAAAGGATAAATATCCAAAAAGACCAATTAATGAAAAAAAAAACACTTTGAATACATTACTTTTTGTGTTCCAAAAAAAGAATACATTACTTTTATTTTTATTTTATTTTTCTTGAATTGTCAATCTATTATAAAAGAAGAGAGAACGACCTCTCAGATTCCACACAACTCAACTTTTACATTATTTTCTTCAGATTCAGTTCTCCAAATCTTCCTCATACATTGTTAATTAGTTCTTTAGACAATCTCTAATAGATCTATTATTCCCCAAATTTCGATTAATTCTTTCACAATTGTGTACTGTTGTTATGGGGAAAAAGCGTAAAAGCAATATTGACGTTAGAGTCGTTGGACGTAGAATCTACGATTCAAAAAATGGCAAATCCTGCCACCAAGTAAAACTTTAATTTTGTGCTTTAAGACTTTGATCTTGTTTTGTATTAAAATCATAATAACGTTTTGTGTTTTTGTTTTGTAGTGTCGACAGAAGACTATGGACTTTGTTGCACCATGCAAGGCCACGAACAAAAATAACAAGACTTGTCCTATTAAGTTTTGTTACAAATGCTTATCAAACGGGTTCATTTTTATTTTATTTTATTTTCTTTAAATTCGATTATAATTATCTTAATTTCATGTGTATTATTTCTTGATTTTGAATGATAGGTATGCTGAGAATGCAGAAGAAGTAGTAAAGTTGGAGGATTGGTATGTCCTAGGTGTAGAGGCATATGCGTTTGCAGCGTCTGCATGTAAGTTGTAACACTATACATGTCTTTGAGATCATCAGAGCTATATGATATCAATGATATAAGAGAAGCTTATACTAAAAAAAAAAAAAAATGTTTGTGAGGATTTTACAGGAAAGCCAGAGGACTAAAACCCACTGGGATTTTGGTACATCAAGCTAGAGCTTGTGGATGGGCTTCAGTCTTTGAGCTTCTTCAAGTTGAAGGGCCTGACAAATTTGCTTACCAGAGGAAGCCAAAACTGGTACTGAAATAAAATCATACATACAAAATGAAAAATCATGTTCTTAGTGATCTTTAAGCTTACTTGATCAATATGGTTTATGTAGAGTGATGCTTCCAATGAAGCTAGTAGTAGTAGCACTAGTGAATCTGTTCCAGTGACATAAGTGGTTTCTAAAACAGATGTTGCCAAGAAGAAGAATAAAGTATTATGCAAGAGGACCATACTGAGACAGGATATTCAGTTGAAGGCTCTGCTTCCTCAGGGTACACGCTTGACTTGTGTATTAGGCATTGATATACCCACTGAAGAAGCTGCAAATGTATGCTAGCTTTTCGAGTTTTGCTCTGCCTTTGGAAAGGGGTGATAATATGCTCCCTTTAATTAGCTTGGAAACTAACACATGGTCTGTAATCTGATCCATTTCCTTAAAACATTTTGGATAGGTTCTTGGTTTAAAGGAAGGACAAGCTGAAACTGTTGTCAGTGAGCTGTTTGTATGTGGGCGGACCACAAGGAGTAACCAATGCTGCTCTATTATCGAGATGATGATTCAGTTGTTGGACTTAATATCACAAGATAGAGAGATGTATTAGTTGTTTTTGTTTGTTCATGTTTCTGATGTGTTATAATTTTTAATACAGGTCTTGGACTCTAAGTGCAACTGACAGCAGTTGGTTCACTGCTATTGGAGAGATAGTATTGGAGTCACAAGTTTTGAGAGATGATGAGTTCCCACCTGAAACTTTTGAAGCTGGTGTTGCTGAGTACGAGAAGATGGATCCATCAAGAAAGCTCAAGCTTCTAATTTTCCTATGTGATGAATCACTTAGCACACGGTACGTATGTGAATCTTTCTATGCTAATATTAGTTTATGCTTGGTTTTGAGATAAACTTATATGTGTGAAACTTTCTCAGGGCAATAAGGGAGTACATTAAAAGCCAAACAAAAGAGTGTGAAAAACAGAATAAAGAAGCTAAAGAAAAGGCTGCAACCACCAAGAAAAAGGTAATTTCTAAATTTATATATCAATCTCTTCCTTGTGCTAAAAGCTAGTTTTGTCTTTTATATAGGAGAAGCAACTTAAACAGAAGATGCAAGGTGATGTTGCCAAAGCCATTATGGAAAAAAATGGAGCTCCATTGTCCATTGAGGAACATAACTTAATTGTATCTCAAATAAGAGCTGAAGCTAATGAAGCTCACATGGAGATGATGGAAGCAAAAGGCATGACATATTGACACCCTTAAGGCTCCTTATATATGTTAATTGTCTAGCAAATGATGTTGTATTATATTTAATCTTTTCTCCCTTTGCAGCTATGCGTATATGTCATGCACGTAGAACTGAACCAATCATGAAGGATGATGATAATGGTCTTGTTCTTTGGAAGCTGAAGTGTTATGAAGAAGAAGAATCAAAGATTTTGCTTCAAGGTTTGTAATTTACTTACACTCTTTGTTTGTTTGTATTTCTTAGAAGTGTTTAGTAATTTAATCTCACTCTTTATATATATATGGCAGATTTAGGAGCATATGATAATTTATGGCGACTTGAAAGATGGTTAGCTTTGAAGCCTGAACAGACACCAGAGATAGAGAAATGTCTCTCTTACAAGAACAAGAGGTAAGTTATTCTCATTAAGAGGCTATGAATGATATTTGGATTTTTGTAATGTACAATTTAAACTAATTGCTGCTTTGTTTTGGTAGAAGAAGAGGATGATGTCTCTTCGGGGATGAGGATGCTGCTGATGATGATGATGCTGATGATGATGGTGGTTATGACTTCTGAAAATATATATATGTTTACCTATTTTTGCATGTGTTAGAAATTTAAAAAGAGACATCTAATTCCTCCACAAACTTAAGTGTTTTTTTAATCGTATTAATATTTAATACATAGAACTTTGTTATGCTATCACTATATAAACTTATTAAAAATTTGAATTTTCTACTTGAATAAAAAAAATCTGGTCTAAACTCACAATATTGATCAAGTAAGCAAATTGATCTTATATCACTATATACTCCTTACGTCAAGGCATTTTGATGTTATGGAGAATTAAAACTTGAGAGTTGAGCGTATATAAGCTCATCTTAGGGGATGTATTCGAAGTAGAATTTGAAGTGATTTGAGTTTTCTAGAGATTTTATATGATTAATTTTAAGGAAGTTCATATAATTTAATGTAAAATCTTTTCAAATCCCACCTAAAAATATGAGATTTAGATTTATGTATTTTTAACTAAGGAAATCCTCTCAAATCCTTCAAAAATCATTATAAATAAAATTTACAAACTATTTCCAACAACAATTGATTTTAATTAAGAGGGATTTTTAAATCATTAGTTCAATAACATCATATTTCATTAAACTTTTTAAATTCTTTATTGAATAACATATTATTTGTAAATCTTGCACAAATCACTTAAAATAACACTTTGAACACACCCCCTTAGTCTCATTGTAAAAACCACCATGGATCATCTTAAACTAATAGCAAAGTTTCTTCTTGTCAAAGTTCAAGTCTTTGTCATTTTATTCATTACTCTTAACTGAGTGAATCTCTTAATCCTATTGGAATATGCGAATTAAGGTTGTTGAGTGATTTAACATCCTTTACTCGTGCATTGATCGAATGCGTCAATTATCTCATTTGATTGAGTTTGTCACTCACCACATTTATCAACTATACCATCCCTTGATCAGCCCCGGCTCAACAATTTGGCATGCTCATGGGCAAAAAAATTTTTTTTGGCATTTTATCTAATCTATACTAAAGAGATTCAATTTTTTTGGGCCCAAAAAACATGTTTTAAAGATATATTTATACATAAATAGGCTTTTTCACAAAAGAAAAAACGAAAATGGATCATATTATATGGATCCAATATTATTTAGGTCTCCTATTTTACTATTTTACAACAAAAATGGGTCCTTTAATCTTAGAAATTTTTCTAAAAAGTATTCGGGCTGGCCATTGCCTCTGTGTCCACCCCTGTTCAGAATTAGCTCGTGAATTCCACCTTTCGCAAGTTTAGCTTGAAATCTCTTGATAATCTAATGATCTTGGAGCGACTATAATCTTGCATCACTGCCAAAAAAACTTATTAAACTAAGTAAACTGACAGAAATTTTTCTCTAAAGAGAGCCATTTCGGTACCGACGTACAATACGGGAAAATATAACATTTCATGCTTTTGTCTTTCTGGCAACATAATTAGCACATATATTGTTACAACGTTTTTGATGCCGAATACAAAAACTTAGGAAAGATTCATTTAAGAACCTAAATTAAGCTAACTTAACTGTAAATGTTTGTTATTCGATGAGATTATCTATCACAGCGATCAAATTTGAGCAATCTGTGATCTCTCAATGAAACATTCCATTGCACGAATAAGAGTTTCAAACTGTGTTTGGAGAGGAGATTAACCTTGACATACACTTTTTATTCCTAAAACCTCGTTTTAAATTTGTATATGTATAAACTCGTTTTAAGAGACACAAATTAAAACACCTAGTTTAATTTTCCTTAGTAACGTAAGTAACTTGAAATGATTATGATTGACGTAGGAACATGTATCACAAATAATTAGACTCCCAACAACTAGTTGCGTCTGAATTATTGTAATAATAATCTCTATGATAATAAAGAAAATTAAGTTTATCAAACAAGAAATGTAATTAGAGTCCATTATTATATTGTCCACCTTAGAAGAGGCAAAGAGCCATGCCCTTCACGGGATTATCACATGTCGACCGGTCTTCTTCCGTACATTACATGTTTTATTATAAAACATTTTATGATGTGGTTTGTAACACTTGGGGTTTATTTTCGAATTATTAATTTAAAACGATTATTATATCCAATTTTTGATTATTTAAATCTTTTGAATAATTTACAGATCCTACTACGAGAAGATGAACAAGCAAATAGACAAGCAAAGCTTCGGATACTTTTGTCTGGATCCGAGGGTTCGAGGTAATGCGATAAGTTTAATGGCATTGTCTCCTATATTTATCATACTGTATTATCATATCACTGGGAGTTTTATATGTCCACCCCACATAACTTGGTTACAACCCTTTTTTTTTAAATATAATAAATGGTACATCTCTAACCATTTTTCATATTTTTTTTACATATAATTAGTTACGTTGTATATATATGCAAAATATATTTAAGCGAGAAATATAGAATTTTCAAGAAGTTTTTCTTAAATTTGTTTTGGCTACTGTTGGATTGATAGTATATCAAAGACGGCAGTTCTATTTTTTTTTTTTTGTCAACCGATAGACAAAGTCTGTTTATGGCATTTTCTAGAAAAGACTTTCCGCTAAAAATAGTCAGTTGGGGGCCGAAATGCTCATATGAAAGAAATGATACTCACAGGTTTGTGTTTTCTTTGCAAGGAAGTCATCCCGGATATTGGATGGACGAAGGATGGAACAAATGCGGAAAGATAAAAAGCGAATCTTGACTGGAAGGAGGCCAGTTCCTGACGGCAGTTCTATTGTGACAAGTAGAAACTATCATAGAACAATATCAAAATTGAATAATTAGGTAAGTTTTGTAAAATTAATATACAAACTTAATGAGTTGACTTAAAGTCTCTAGCTAACATTCTCAAATTAAGCAACGACAAACAAAGGAAGGCACTTAAACTTTTTTAAATTAAAACTTAAAAGAGATAATTATGCTCACTAATCAGCAGCACTACGCAGATGTTTAATTAAAGTCTAAAGATAATATACAATCAACTTGAGGAGAACCTTTGGAAACTTGTTGGCCCGCCAGTCTTTGTGTGAACCTAATAATCACGTGCATCGTATCTAATCAATATTTCCAAATTATTATTAATACACATTCTTATACTAAACAAGTAATATATAACCCAACATGTAAATTACTTTACTCTATGTGTGCTAATTAACTGAACATTTTGGATATCTATCTTATTGGTATTTGTAATAAATAAATAAATGAACATCAACCAAACTCGAACTTGTAAATTAACAATTCGTCTTCAAACATATATGCAACAAGCGTAATTTTTTTTTGTAAGATGCCTAAATATATATACAAAAAACTACAAATACCAACATAAACAAGAAAAAAAATTATATATATACAATAATATATGTTTGTATGATGCCTATAAATATAATATCATGACGACTATTAATTCATTTCGGAATTGAAATATTAGATTTTTGATATCCAAAAATTCAAGATATAAAGGAGATATCGACTTATAAATATCGGATAATTTGTCCAATCCTTATTAAATCAGCCTTATCAAAATAAACATCCATCCAACAAAATGGGGTAATTGTGTCTCTTGATTTGTATTATACGTGTGTGAGAGCTTTCAGTCTTAAATAATTTTCAAAACATAAGTTTTCTCTATCTCTATATATGTAAATTAGCTATCGAATACTATAAAATGTTTCATATTTACAGCTGCCGACCAACAAAGAAAAAATCATTACATCGCTAGCTAGCTGGTTGACAACATATTTAATAAGATCACCGGACGATTGTTTTGGCAAGTAAGACTATTCAATGAATCAAGAGTTGCTATTTTGAGAACGAGCCAGAGTCATCTTTAGATCTTTTGGTTAATTAAGAGTTTAGAGATGTCATTTATAATGGATCCAACACATGATGACATTGACAGCTTCCAAAGTTATCAATTTACAAAAGAAAAGAACACAATGCGCGTGGGGCTGCTTAGATTCCTTTGTTATCTTGTTACTTCTTAGACATGTTTATATGGCATTACCCTTGGCCTTAATTAAGATAGAGAGAGAGAGACACTTTTTTGTAGTTTAGTTTCCAATATAAAATCTCAAGTTCTTTTTATAAAATTAAAAATAAATTTAAAAATTATTTAATACATGATGATAGAAAGTATGGGATACAGTCTCCTTGTTACTTATTTCTATTTCTTATCATCTATAATTGGTATGATGTATACATATATTTGTCTACCTACATAGTTTATATGGATGTAATGAATGTGACTATATAAGTCTAGCTCACTTTGTGCTAAGGCATCTCTTTCTCCTTCTCATTCATTCACAGACTCTTTCTCTCTCCCTAGATCTCTATCTATCTCTCTAGAGTTTCTTCCTTTAAAGAATCATGAAAGGCACCAAGAAGAAGACGCCATGCAGCAAAAAGCTTGGAGGGTACTTGAAAGAACAGAAGGGAAGGCTTTACATCATCAGAAGATGTGTGGTCATGCTCATTTGCTGGCATGACTAACTTGCCACTTATGTATATGTGCACATGCTTAGAGCTAGACAATATCTATGTTTCTAGTACAAACGGGTTTGATATTGAAGAAATGGATCGGATCTTTGTGGTTGTGGGGATATATATATTGGCGATGTGAGCGGATCGTTTGCAAGCTGGAGATCATATATATCTTCTCGAGTTGTTTCCACGATTATGAGTTAGGATAATAACTTTTTGAGTTTAGTTTAGAAAAGTTACAAGTAGCTAGGATCTTCTTTAATATATGTTAGTGTGTGATATAGAATAAGGAGAGACAAACTTATAATCGAAGTTTGTAAATGCTTACAGAGAGTAGTTGTTAGAGGAATCTCTTCGTCTCTAACTCAAGTCTTCCTTTGTTGTTATGGCATTTTTACTATAATAAATATTAACATTCCAAGTAAAAAATTGTAAAGAACAATAGTTAATCATTTGATGTAATCTCATCAAATTAAACAATGATTCTAAGTTTCTAACACATTTTAAAGTCCATATTCCGAAATTTGAATATACAAAATTTTGAATAGAATTTAATTTGGCATTTACGAGTATGTTAGAAATCGGCTATCAATCAGATCATATCTTGCTCCTATTTTTGAACCTTCAAGCACATGTATTTGTTTGGACCCATCCACTTAAATTCTATAGCAATATTATTAAAAGACACTGTTTCTCATTTGCATATATTCACATAAATATTTTTCCCCATCATTGACAGAATTAGAAAAAATGCATTTGGTAAAAATAAACAAGTCTTGATTTGTATAGGAAAAAAAAAAAAAAAAACGAGTCACTACTCACTAGTCATTACTGTTTTTGCATTGTGTCTTATTACCGAGTTTGGGTGATATGTAATGAAAATAATGCATAAGTTTCACATTCAGACGAAACTGACAAGATATTCAAGACTGACCAATGAGAACGTGCCAAAGGATACTCTTTGTGATGACAGCTTTTATGTCTGCCCACGGGCAAAGGCCAATGTTCTCAGACCCACATACCCATCAGATCGGATGGCCACTTCATCATCTCTTGTTTGTGTTTTGAATATGACCATAGTCCTTGCGATATATTTACTAGATTAGACATTTTTAGTCATAGTCACCATAAATCTTGGATCCAAAAAGGACGATTAGAATCGTTTTCTGGTCGATGGTTTAACTTTTTTTTTTCTTTTCTAGTAAGTAAGAGGTTCTCGGCCGATGCCTATACATCGATCATTGCAGTCACACGACCAAGGAGCTCTGTGGTAATGTAGTCTATCATGGTTTCAACAAACACCTGCATAGATATTATATAAACATATTATTTTGACCAAATCATAGATATATAGCAACGATGATTTACGTTTACCATGTTTTGTGTTCCGTTTGTATATGTTGGGACTGGATGAGATGGCTTGGTAAGCGTTGTGCTCTGGTGGTTCCAACTTTGCAAGGCTGAAATTTTTATGTTATCATAAACACTTCTTAAAGTTTGGTTTTATTTTTCTTTGCTTTCTTCTCTCAAGTTTTTTATTTTCTTATAAAATGAATCTTCTTTTGTGATAATCCGGTTGTGTGTGAATGCACATATTCATACCCAAAAAAAAATCTAAAATGTTTTTAATGAATAAAAAGAGATATTCGGATTTAAAAGGTAAGAGTTTCAAAACTAGTACTATTAATATATAAATCTGATTTTGTATCTAGGCTAATTATGGGTTTATGATCCAATAATCATTTGTTGGAAATGATCCAGTAATTTAGTTCTCCTTGCTTCTTCTAAAGTTCAAATTTTGGATCAGAATAGTGTAAGACTATTATTTTTACCCAAATGAGACAATTTCGTAAGGTCGACCATAGACCTCGAATAGTGAGATATGATCATCATCTTCAAACGAGCTTTCAACACTAATTCCTCTTGATGAAGAGTATAAACCTCAGTGCAAGATTGAAGCATGGACTTAAAAAATGTGAGTATGCTTTCATCATTGTATAAAAAAACTAATAATAATATATGTTTTTCAGGTCAGATTCGAATAATCAAACTAAAATTATAACAACTCATACGTACATATGTTATTCATGTACTTGCTCTTACTCAATATTCAAGAATCAATAGCATGGACAATTTAAAAATTCGAGACAGATCTAAAAATGGGAGTGGCTCTTCCAAATAAATTTGTCCACCCCTACTCATTGTGGAATCAGATCACAAAAATATTCGTTAATGGATCTTCCGAAGTGATAGACAAATTTACTACTCAAAGTGTCTCAGTAGCCCATCATTATATCCACACAGCCCATCTTCTACTGTTTTTATTTCTCCACTTTTCCATTTTCAGCCATTTTGTTAAATGATCATACTTTTTTACATGATTGTTTATGATAAAAATTATATTCGATGTTATATACACTCTAGATACTCTTAAAACAATTAAGCTTACAATTTTTGTAATGTAGATTTTGTATATGTTGTTGGCGATGTAAATTTGTTACCAATGTTAGAACTTAGAACTCTTAAGACGATTGCTTTCTAGAAGAGTATATATAAATGAATTTATATGAAATAAATTGGTATACCATAAGAGAGAACTAGCCAACTAGGTACATCTACTTTTACATATTAAAAAGACCTAGGTACATATTATAAAATAAATTTGATCATAGACTTGACTAAAATTATAAAGAGAATATGAAATGTTCGCATTAAAAAAGGCACAACCCTCTCCAGTCTCCAATGAAGACTCTCTCGTCTCCGCCATTTTAAAAGAACTCATTCTCCAATCTTCCCATCTACACATATTGGGATGACTTCACTATCTATACCTTCCTTACTTTTCTTTTTCTTTTCTTTCTCCTTGATATATACTTAATTAGTTCCATAATTCTTCAATTAGTTTGTTCATCTCCACTTGCTACTTTTCAAATCTACATTTTAGAGATTTTTTTCAATGTTTTTTTTAGAGATTTTTTTTCAATGTTTTTTTCTCTTGGATTTCTCAATCTAAGTTTCAATTTATATTCAGAGATTTATGTTTGTAGATGGCTTGTTTTTAGCAGTTTCTCTCTCACTGTCTCAAACACCTTCAAATCTTCTGGTTTACTTTATGATATAGATAAAATATATTCCTATTGCCTTAGCTTCAATCCTCTAAAAATCACAAAACCACTAATACTGTATATATGTTGCTTGTTCCAAAACCTAGGGGCTAAAATATTTTTACACAAATAATTAACTCTGCTCTCAAATTGTAGATAAAGTTTAGGCGATGAACATTTTCATAAATTGAAGTATCCAAAACCACAAATAAATTTATTAAAAATTAGGGTAGGAAAATAGTGTATAAATTAACAACAAAATAGAATCTATTCTTTCCCTTTATTTGACAGCGAATAGAATCTATTCTATAAACTTTAAAATCTAATAAACTCCAAACTCTAAAAATTAAAATACTAAATCCAAAAACTAAAATCTAACCCCCTAACTTGTACAAGGACATGTCCTCAACCCTAATCTTTAACCTTGAAAACCATTAAAAATTCTATATTTTCTCCATTTTTCTTAACTATTTCGACTTATGTTTTTTTTTAAATAAAAATTTTAAATTTAAATTTATCTTTTAATCCTTATATAACCACCATATTATCCTTATACTTTTGGATTAAGATTTCACCTCTGCCAAAAGATACTATTGGTTTCAATGGTTTTGCATAAAATATAGTGCATATTAATATTAGGTTCTGCCCACTGATCTATATATATAAGAACAACTCTTGACTAATAGCTAGGGACGTCAAAAGAAAAATTTGAAAACGACAAATCTTTTCACAATCTTCAAATCGTACGGGAAACCAACTCAGGTCACATTAAAGCTTTCTTTATTTTCTTCTTCTTTTAAAACAAAACCCTAAATATAAAAGATAATTACAATATCTTTACACATATATATGCACAGTATATTTTTTTCTTTCTTTCTCAATTTCCATGGATTGTACGAAGAAAAAAACTAGTAATAAAAACTGAAAAAAACCCTCTAGACAAAACAATAGCAGAACTTGTCTGAGATCCAGACAAAGTAAAAAAAAAAGAAACAGTGAGATTACTGTTTGAATTCAAGAACATCCATCGCCTTCAATCCTGACTCTCAAAGATTTTTATTATCGAAATGGAAACGAATCCCTTCAGATGTCGTCTTCTGTTGTTTGAATTATTATTTTTTGGACCAATTCTCTACTTTTTATGGGCCATCGTTTGTTCATTAGATTTTTTTGCCTTTACGGAGCACTCAATGCAAAGGTACGTATCTATATATCTACTTGTGTGTTTGTATGTATGTATACGTATAGTAAAAGTTTAATGCTATGATAGATACTAAAAATAGTTGAGTTTGAGGTTAATCACTCCCAATATATAAAGCTATCATAAACTAGATATTATATAGATCTAGAATTGGAAAACCCTAGAAAATTTGGTAAACCCTAAACTTGTTGTTGAGTGAGAAAGAAGAAGATAAGATATTTCTAAATCAGAACCTTAAATCTATCTTTCGCAAGCAGATCTTCAGTTAAGAGTTACAAAATCATGTCTTCTTCTTCATCACTGTACACTTAACCATTTTTGTTTACATCTCTCTCTATCGTGTAATATCTTTACAGCTTTTTTTTCTTTCTTTTCTTGATGTGAGAAAGAAACCGTACGCTTAGAGTCTCTGTCTCTCTTTCTTTTACCAGGATCTTTCTTTTTGATGATGTGAAAGTTATTGTTTTGTTTCTAAGAAAAAAGTCATTTTCTTGATAATTCTTGATTCTTGATTCTTGAAGCTTCTTAAGGTACGGTGAAGATGTCGTCTTCCAACAATGATTATAATGATGGTAACAACAATGGAGTATACCCTCTCTCACTTTACCTTTCTTCACTCTCTGGCCATCAAGACATCATCCGGAATCCTTACAATCAACAGTTAACAGCGTCTCCGGGACAAATGGTAACAGCAGTTCCTGAGTCTTTGATGGATTACATGGCCTTTAACTCAAACAATAATGCTGTGAATCAGCAAGGTTTCGAGCTTCCTGAGGTGTCGAGAGAAATCAAGAAGGTAGTCAAGAAGGACCGTCACAGCAAGATTCACACGGCACAAGGTCTTAGAGACAGGAGGGTAAGGCTTTCTATTGGTGTTGCTCGCCAATTCTTTGATCTCCAGGATATGTTGGGGTTTGATAAAGCAAGCAAAACGTTAGACTGGCTGCTCAAAAAATCGAAAAAAGCCATCAAAGAGGTTGTACAAGAAAAAAGACTCAACAATGATAATGATCAAGATTCTGGAGACAACGGAGGTGATGTAGAAGAAGAGATGGAGGAGGAGGAGGATGGCGATAAGAGCTTCGTGTATGGTTCGAGCCCCGAGTCTTGTGGGGAAAAATTGGTATGTGAGGTCAAGAAGGCAGATAAGAGAAAGAAGAAGGATGAGTTGAGGAACATCTCATCAAAGGGATCAAGGGCTAACACTAGAGGAAAAGCAAAAGAGGTAACAAGAGAGATGGCATATGATCATCTAGAAACCATATCAGATATCACACAATCTGAAACCATGGACTCATTCAAGAGGTCTTTATTCTCTAACGAAGGAGAAGACATGACACATTCTTTCTACAAGGAAACAATTGGAGAGTTTTATAATCAAGAATCTATCTTAACCAAGATGAAGATCAATATGCCGACGAATATGGATCAAAGTTACAATCAACATACTGGAGCTTTTATGTTGACAGATCAAGGTTCTAGCAGCAACTATAATACCATTGATCTGCCTCTTTTGGATTATAATTATGAGCAAAACCCTTTTGTTGACCAAACCTTTTGTGCAATCACCGACACAAACTTCCCTGGAGGTACAGTTAGGAGTTCAAAATTCTTTTTCTTGCCCAAATTATGATTCATATATGTTTGTCTATGCACTTGATGATATATGTTTCTTATAACTCTTTTTGTTCTGGCAGGGTTCCCATAATCTTGATATTTTCCAAGGACTATATAGGCATCATATATAAACATGTAAGCCAGAATAATACTTCATTCCTCTTGAATGTATATTATATATTAAGTATTGTAGTTATATGTGTTCTTTTGTAATATGTTATATTATCTTCTGAGCAAATGATCAAAATTTCTTTTTTAAGATTCAGTTTTGTGTACCTTGAAATATCTTAGCTACAATTTTCAATTGGTATCGTTACCTTTAAAGTATTTTTTTTGAGATGAAAAGGTTATCTATATCTGGAAATATCAGTCCAATTCAAGATTCATAATTCTATATATTAGGCACTACACACAAGATCGTCTTTAATATTAAGCCATTTTCGCAAATTGTTTCACATAGAGTTCCCATATAACTAGAATAAGCTTCTCAAACCCTAAATTTCATTAAAAACCACAAATTAAAAACAAATATATTATATATGTGATGATGAATACTAAGGAAAAGCAAAAGAGAAAACATAGAGATGGCCTATGATCCTCCAGAGACCTATATATATTTACACACATGCAATGCTTTATTGACTTACATTGAAATTGAAGTGAAACTGAACATTAGTGTATGCGAGTTGGGTTTTTGGAAAATTAAGAGGATTGTTAAAACCTTTACATTTAGTGGGATTTGTCTAATTAAGGCTAACATTAACTAATGGTGATGTTAGGTTAAACTCTTTTGCTTAGAGTTAGATCGATGCATTAAAGGATTGTGGGAAATTGAGTATGGTATTAGGTATTTGGAATTCAAGTACACGCCGATACATATGAACCAATATCATGAGATCTAAAATTAATTACAAACGAGAAATTGCTAATATTTGCAAAAGATTGATTTTGAGTTGAAAGTTGAAACCATATAAAACTTATGATTCAACACTTTCATATGAAGTTGTTCCAACCCGGTGTTTTAAAAGATAAAACGTTGTTAATAAGTATAAAATGATAGAAAATAACCTAATATGAATCATAAAATATAGTAAAAAAATGCAAATACATATCTAAAAAATCTAATAATTAAGTAAAAGGATAAGAATATAAACATAATTATGAAAAACTCATAAAATATCAACATACACAAACAAATAGAGAAAAATATATATTAATACATAATATACAAGAACTCTTCACCCACCACCACAAGCCTTCGAACACGTGAACATTGGTACGAACGTTTCAACTCTTGATGTTTCTCACTTAATTCTTCTATATCAGATTAAGTAAGAATCTGACTCACCGTAGTATCTAGACTTGCCTCATTGTTTATTCTTTCTTTTTATGTTCTTCAAAGCATGTACTGACATTAAAACCTAGACTTGCCTATAGGTCGCTGGATTAGTTAAGTACCTATGAATCAATTTACAATATTTAATCAACCAATACTGACTGGGAAGTGATTTACCTTCAAGATTTTGTTGCAAAGTTAAAGTAAAATTTTATTGTATAAAAATGTGATTTGTCAGATCCTATGAAGTTAACTCGCCGGAATAGCTAATTTTAATATTCACATTACATCTTTTCAACATGCCTTCGTTGGTTTGGTACCCATTTTTATTTTTATTTTATTATTAGTCTTTCTGACCTTTGATAGTAGCTTCACGTACGGCATCATAATCTTTAATTATATATAAAAAAAATTACAGAAAAGTCGAATTAGAAAATTTGCTTTCAAATCGACACCAAACCGAATAACAATAAAAATCAAACGAATTTTAAAATATTCTTATTCGAATTATTAAACTGAATTTGAATGAAATCGAAAATCGATCAGTACTATACCCGAAAAAACCAGAAATAAAACTGCGTATTCGAAAACAGTAGTTATATTTAGCTATAATTTTATATCCAAAAATATATGAAATAACCTAAATACCCAAAAATCTTATTTATATTTGTTAAAACTATATACTTTTAGCAAGATCTAACCAAAATTTTTTCAAAACTGGACAATTTTGTTTAGCCTTTTTAGCATAATCCAAACTAAACTAAACCAAATAGTAATAGTGAATACTAAATTCTCTTATTCGAATGATCAGAGAATCCAAACAAAAATTAAACAGTATTCGCTTTGAAACCCTAATACCCACACCTTGGAAGGCATCTTAGCCCTTTAACCCAAATAAAAACTCATCTTTATTTTTCTAAACGGGCTATAACATAACCTTAATGGGCTTTTAATTTGGGTTTAAACATAAGAGCCCATTAATATCAAACTTCGTCTTCTGTGTTCTTTTCTCACTTTGCTTGTCCCAAAAGTCGGAGAGGAAGAAGCTATACAAGAAGAAGAGAAACAAAGCAAGAAGGAAGAGAAAGAAGAAGGAAGTAAAAAATGGAGTCACAGAAGAAGATAGCTCATGAGATCGGTGGTATGAAGAATGATGCTCTTAGATTTGGTCTCCATGGCGTTAAGAGCGACATCATCGGATCTCACCCACTCGAATCCTCTTACGAATCTGTAAACACTATCTTCCCCGACTGAGTTTTTTTTCTTCTTCTTTTGTTTCTGTTTCGATCTGTTTTTGTTTTTCTCGGGAAAGTGAGAAATTAGCTTAAGGAAGGAAACTTAATTGTGTTTGCTTCTATCGTCTAATTAGTTGATTACTTTGTTTTGCAATTCGCTATTTTGGGTTTGATTCGAGATTCTTGAGTAGAAATTGCAGTGTTAGGTTTTCTAAATTGGCTGAATCCTAGGGTTTTTATTTGTTTGTTTAGGTTCCTACTCTCTCTCTATATTGAATCTGTTTGTTTATTCATCAATTGCCTTTATTGGTTTGGTTTCAGGAAAAGAAATCGAGAGAGGCGATAAAGAGGACGGTCATTGGGCATGCCTATGGGAGTGCACTTCCATTGAAGATGGATATGGATAGGCAAATCCTTTCAAGGTATGCGTTTTTTGTAATTGTAGTACTCTAGTAACCTAGAGAACTGATTCTGGTAAAACTACATGTGTTGTTCAGTGTATGTATTGATATTTAGTTATGTGTGAATCAATGCATTTGGGAAGCTAGTCTTTGGTGTTAAGTAAGATGCAGACACCTATAGGTCTCATTTGTTTTCGTTTTCATTGGGGACATGATAATTGTGTCATTTACTGGTATCTAGGTGTTTACTTGTGTTACTTGGTTGAAACTTGAAACTATTTATGTGTGCTTTGGGGACTATGGGGTTTAAAAGTGTTTGCGGAATGATCTTTCTGGTTGTTAATAGCACTTTGGAAAGCAACATATGATTGTACTGTTCTCATTCTATCCTTTTTCTTAATATATATATAGGTTTCAGAGACCTCCTGGACCAATTCCATCGTCAATGCTCGGTTTAGAAGTTTACACAGGAGCCGTGGATGACTTTGGTTTTGAGGATTACTTGAATGGTAAATTGCCCCTTACTCCTATTATGATTGTTTTTGAATGCTACATTCACTTGTTTGGGTAATTGGACACCAACTTGGTGGTATCTCAGTACTATGCACTAGCAGAAAACAATTTGATAAGATTCATTTTATGCTGCTGCTGACAGGGAGCAAGAAATTAATTTGCGATGCTGAATTTTCTTCAAAGCATCATCTTGTTTGTATTTCTATAGTTCATAGTCATGTTCTTGACACCAATTGGCTAGATTAATTAATAAAAAAGGGCCTACACATGTTATTGATTGTAAATTCGATATCAGTCATCTGAATCTATTATCTTCTTTCCTTGCAGATCCTCGAGAATCTGAGACATTCAAGCCGGTAGACTTCCACCACGGGATGGAAGTTCGTCTCGGCATCTCAAAGGGGCCGGTTGCTCCAAGTTTCATGTAAGGCCACCTCATGGTTGGTTTTTATCCGTTGCTATGTTATAGCTGTTGAACAATGGAATCAAGTGAGATCGTGTATGAACTTATTTCAACCATAGACTTCTTCTATCTTCTCTTGACCCAAGTTTGAAACCAGGATGAGACAACATGATCAGTTCTAGTATGTTAAGTTTTGTGAAACTAAAATGCCATGTTTTAGTTTGCAACGGCAATCGATCAACTGAACTGAGATATCGAGAGGAACTAAAAAAAAATCATGGAATTGACATAAATCGAGAATATGAACAACTCCAAATCAGAGCCGTTGGGTGGCCTTTCATTCATCTCTGGCAATATGTTTATCGAATGCAATAAGTAAATAGGTCCTATTGAATAGTTTGTTTGATGTGGAGCTGTCTCAATGAGCTCTAACAACAATGACTGTTAAAGCGACATTCTCTAGAAATGCTGGAAGTAACTTCAAATCCAAAATATAAGAAATGAAATGAAAATATATTCATCTAACTTTTATATTAAACACATCTCTACTCTATCTCATTTCATCCTTTTTCCATTTTATTATATGGAGTGAGCTTCACAACATATCCTTTTTATGAGCGAGTAACTTAGATAAAAATTCTTCTCTTGTCAACCAGTAATTTCTTAGATAAAAAGATAAAAAGGAGACATGTTTCCTTCAGCAACAAAACTGGAATCCCCAAAAATATATGATTATTGAATTTCTCAATAAAAAGATGCTTTTTGCTAACGTCTTTGTTTTTCTTGTCCCAAAGAAGAAGTAAAGAAAAGAATATAAGCATTAAGCAACGGTCACAAACACAAACACAAGATTGCATATTAGTAAAGAAGTAAGAGAGGCCCTCACCTCACACCTCACGACCGCTTTGAACTCGAACGTTCTTCTCACGTATCCCCCACTAACACTCCATTACCACACATTCTTCACTTATTACTTTCATTTATTTTCTTATCATCCTCCTCCTTTTTTTACTCTTTTTTTTTTCAAGTCTCTCTTACCAAAATTGATATTTCACAATTTTGCTTTCCAAACAGAAAAAATCTATATTCTTGATGAGAGTATGCACCACACCATCATGGTCATCTAGAAGTAATTGGAGGTGCGAGTCGAATTTAATATGTGGCACAAAGACGGCGGCAGCCAACGACTCACTTTATTTTTATTATCAGCTTTATTTGCATGTCTCCATCCAAAAATTTCAAGTTTGTGGGCTAGCAATATCTTCCAAATGAACCGGTTTTAATTTCGTATTACATTGATTCAGCTGGTTTTTTATTATTGAAAAACTACATAAAGGGTCTCTGTTTCAACATTAGACTAAATAATTTTTTTAATATTTAATTATAATTTATAAATATAAAATTTGAAATTGAGAAACCTGCTGATGTACTTACTACTAAAAAGGCAAAATAAGAGTATCATTAATACTAGGAAGCCAAAAAATGAATCAAAGAAAAGAACAAGACAGAGTTAAAGACTTAAGAGCACAATAATGGGAGCACGTGGAGACAGAACACATATGCTTGCTTCTATCCAAACACTACAGCAGCATCCATATGCACTAATAGCCTGCAAACTTAAAACAGCTCTTTAAGCCACCTTCTTGATCTTTCTTCTTTTACTCTTATATTCCACTTTATTCCTTTTTCCGTATTATCCACATTCCAAATTGTACATCTTTAAAATAAAAATAAAAATTATAATCACACCATAATTGACTTTTAAGTAAAAGAAACTTATTGTAAAATTTAGTTGCCTGTTTTTTTTTAATATGATTTTACTGACAATTTCTATGATAATTATGAAAATTCAATACTTACTACTTTATTTTGATAATTTGCTGTTTTAAACGATGATCACATTCTCACTATTACCAATTAATTTTCTTCACGCAAATACACTCATTTTGACCATTATATTTAGGGAATCGTTATAATAATATTTAATCAACATTTTAAGTACACACACTTTCACAAACTATAAATGCATTATATACGGATTACTATTTGCAATTAACGCAGTCAAAAGAATCTTTAATTAATTTAACTACTTTAAAAGGGTAGTTTCGTCTTAAAAAAGATCCACACTTATCACAACGCATAACCGTTGTAATGACCTCAACAAATTCCAAATATACCCTTAAGGAACGTTCGAGCAAATCTCTAAGACGGCGGCCATAAATGTAAATAAAGTTTAAATTAGGGTCCACTTTTATAATATATATAAAAAAGAAAAAAAAAAAAAAGGGAAGAACGTGAACGATCCGCGCGAGCCACACAAAAAAGGTTCCACCAGCACAGAGAAGAGAGAGAGAGAGAGAGAGGTTGCTTAAGAGACGTTGTCGGACTTCAAACCTGTTTCGGTACCGGAATTTAGGAACTCCGTTCAAATCCGGAGCCATCTAGAAAAAAGAAGATAAAAAGCTTTTAACTTTTTTTTTTTGTTTCTATCCCATTATTTGGAGAATTCTCAGAGAGAAACAGAGAGAGAGAGAGAGAGTGAAGTCAGAGGGTTTTTTTTTTATCTGGGTTTCGGATTTTGGTATCTGGGTTTTGGATTTCTCGAGTTCAATTTCGGAATTGGGTAAGAAAGTTAGGGTTTTTTTTTTGTTTCTTTTTTTGCGAAATTGTGAGGGATGACCACGCCGTTGAAGGTGTGGCAACGTTGGTCTACGCCAACGAAAGCGACGAATCCAGATTCGAACGGGTCTAGTCACGGAAAGGGTTTAGACATGGTGACCCCAGTTTCGGGTCGGGTTAGTGAGATCCAGTTCGATGATCCAAGGATTTTGCCTGAGAAAATTTCAGAGCTTGAGAAAGAGGTGTGCTTTTTTTTTGTTTTCTTCTCTTGACTTTTTTTGTTTTCTTACAGTTGGGGTTATTAAATGTCTTATGGTTTTATAGCTAATGGAAATGGTTTCCTCTAATTCGCTTTGTCGCTTGTGAATTAAATCAGCTTTACTCTTTTCAAGATTTGCCACTATAGTTCAAGAATCTTTAAGAATGTTATGGAGGTGGAATTATTTACTATGAATTGTATTGTTGGATCTTTTAAGTTTAGGCAACTCATGTTTGTGTTGTTACAGCTTTTTGAATACCAACACAATATGGGTCTTCTTCTGATTGAGCAAAAGGAGTGGAGTTCTAAATATGAAGAGCTTCAACATGATTTTGAAGAGGCGAATGAGTGTCTTAAGCGGGAACGTAATGCGCATCTAATTGCTATAGCTGATGTTGAGAAGCGGGAAGAAGGGTTGAGGAAAGCTTTGGGGATTGAAAAGCAATGTGCACTTGATGTAAGATTCTGTTTTGTTCGAGTTTCTAATCACTTCTTTAAGCACACATATGGTTTCCTTAATACATAATGTCAATATGCTTATAACTGTTTTCTCTAATTGAAATACTTTTTTTTTTTTTACCATAAGTATCTTCTTAGTACATATAAGCTGTCTCACACCCTTAAAACTTTTGCAGCTGGAGAAGGCTCTGCGAGAACTACGCTCTGAAAACGCAGAGATCAAATTTACAGCTGATTCAAAGTTGACTGAGGCTAATGCATTGGTAAGAAGCGTAGAAGAAAAATCTCTTGAAGTTGAGGCAAAGCTGCGTGCTGTCGATGCAAGACTTGCTGAAGTTAGTAGAAAGAGTTCAGAGGTGGAGAGGAAGGCAAAGGAAGTGGAAGCTCGAGAAAGTTCTCTTCAAAGGGAGCGATTTTCCTACATTGCTGAGTACGTACTGGACTTCTTCGTTGTGCCTTTTTATATGTTGAATTATTTATCTTTGTGTCATTCGTTGCTTCTTTTTGGGGGATAACTCAACTTGTTTTATTTTTTTTCTAAAATATTTTCAGACGAGAAGCTGACGAGGCAACTTTGTCAAAGCAGAGGGAGGACTTGCGGGAATGGGAAAGAAAGTTGCAAGAAGGAGAAGAAAGAGTTTCTAAATCTCAAATGATTGTAAAACAGAGAGAGGATAGGGCAAATGATAACGATAAGATTATCAAGCAAAGGGGAAAAGAACTGGAAGAGGCTCAAAAGAAGATTGATGCTGCTAACCTTGCTGTCAAGAAATTGGAAGATGATGTCAGCTTGAGGATAAAAAATCTTGCTTTAATGGAGCAAGTAAGAAGCTCCTATTTCCTTGTGCGATTTTTATGATTTCAAGTGCTTTGGAATCCTTTTTATTTACATATTTCCTCTATATGCAGGAAACCGATGTGTTAAAGAAATCCATTGAGACAAAAGCGCAAGAGCTACAAGCTCTGCAAGAGAAACTGGAAGCCAGAGAAAAGGCAAGCCCTCTGTCCCTCACTATCTCTCTGTCCGGACAAGTATATATATATATATATATTTCTGTGTCGAGACGTGGATAAAATCTGATGCTAAGTATATCCTCTGAGCCTAGGTTTCTGGGAAGAAAAAGTTATAATTTTCCATCTCAATTTTGCTTATTCGCAATTGTTTCATACTCTATCATTTTTCTTTCCCAATATTTCTTTATCTGTAGCAGTAAACTATTTTATTCCGAATATCACTTGATTATTACACGTGTGAATTTTAGGTGTTAACTGTTCAATGTTGGCTAATTGGCAGATGGCAGTTCAGCAACTAATTGATGAACACAAAGCTAAATTGGATGCAACACAGCGTGAATTTGAGTTGGAAATGGAGGAGAAAAGAAAATTAGTTGATGACAGCTTGAAGAGCAAGGTTGTAGAAGTGGAAAAGAGGGAGGCTGAGTGGAAGCACATGGAGGAGAAAGTTGTTAAACGTGAACAAGCATTAGAGAGAAAACTTGAGAAGCATAAGGAAAAAGAAAAAGATTTTGATGCAAGACTGAAAGGCATAAATGGCAGAGAGAAAGTCTTGAAAAGCGAGGAGAAGGCATTGGAAACTGAGAAGAGAAAACTACTTGAGGATAAGGAAATTATTCTTAATCTTAAAACTGAAGTCGAGAAGATAAAGGCTGAAAATGAGGTTCAGCTATCAGAAATTCAAAAAGAGAAGGAGAGGCTTAGAGTTACGGAGGAGGAGAGGTCGGAGTATCTTCGTCTGCAAACCGAATTAAAGGAGCAAATAGAAAAGTGCAGGTCTCAACAGGAGCTTCTTCTTAAAGAGGCTGAGGATCTGAAGTCCCAAAGAGAAAGTTTTGAGAAAGAATGGGAAGAGCTTGATGAGAGGAAAGCTAAGATCGAGAATGAACTAAAGAATATAACTGACCAGAAGGAAAAACTAGAGAGACAGAATCACTTGGAAGAAGAAAGACTGAAAAAAGAAAAGCAGGCAGCAAATGAGAACATGCAAAGGGAGCTAGAAGCACTTGAAGTAGCAAAGGCTTCATTTGCAGAGACTATGGAGCATGAGCGATCAATGCTCTCCAAAAAGGCTGAGAGCGAACGAAGTCAACTGCTTCATGAGATTGAAATGCGTAATGGGAAACTTGAGTCTGATATGCAGGCTAAACTGGAAGAAAGAGAAAGGGAATTGCAAGCGAAAGAGAAGCTTTTTGAGGAAGAGAGGGAGAAGGACTTGAGCAATATCAATTACCTAAGAGACATAGCCAGCAAAGAAATGGCAGACATGAAGAATGAAAGACACAGAATAGTGAAAGAAAAGCTAGAAGTTGATGCTAGTAAAAATCATCTTGAAGAGCAGCAGACAGAAATCCGGAAAGATGTTGAAGACCTTGTTGCCTTAACCAAGAAACTGAAGGAACAGAGGGAACAATTCATTAGTGAGAGAAGTCGTTTCCTTTCTTCCATGGAAAGTAATAGGAATTGCAATCCGTGTGGCGAACTTCTTCATGAGCTCGTACTTCCTGAAATTGATAACGTGGAAATGCCCAATATGTCAAAACTGGCCAATATTCTTGATAATGAAGTACCAAGGCAAGAGATTAGGGATATATCCCCAACTGCTGCTGGCTTAGGATTGCCAGTTGCTGGTGGGACGGTGTCATGGCTCCGAAAATGTACTTCAAAGATTCTTAAGCTGTCCCCTATAAAAATGGCAGAACCCTCTGTTACTTGGAATTTGGCTGATCAAGAACAACCTGCTGACCAAGCTAACGTGAACAGTGGGCCATCAAGTACGCCTCAGGCAGTGACGAACTCCTTTGATGTTCAAAAGGCCGAATCTGAAACTGGCACAAAAGAAGTCGAAGTCACCAATGTAAACTCGGACGGTGATCAAAGCAACATCAACAGCAAGGCTCAAGAAGTTGCTTCAGATTCTTTGTCCAATCAAAATGCAGATGGTCAATCACGCATGAGAGGGAAAGCGAAAGCCAGAACCAGAAGAACACGCTCTGTCAAAGATGTTGTTGAAGACGCTAAAGCTATATATGGAGAATCTATAGACCTATGTGAACCCAATGATTCAACAGAAAATATTGAAGCAAATGATGGAAGCATGGGTGAACCTGGTCGTTCTGATAGAGCAACTTCAAAGAATGGACGGAAACGTGGGCGTGTGGGTTCTTTGAGAACTTGTACTACTGAGCAGGATGGTAACGAGAGTGATGGAAAATCAGATAGTGTCACCGGAGGAGCACAACAGCGGAAGAGGCGGCAAAAGGTTGCATCAGAACAACAAGGAGAAGTGGTGGGACAAAGATATAATCTTAGGCGACCTAGAAGGTTAGTTCAAAGCCCATTTAGTTTCAAACACAGTCCCTGAGGATAATGTGTTAGAGCTGTCTGTTCATGCCTTTATTCAGTCTGTTTAACAAAGGTTTCACTTTTGGGTTTATTAGGGTAACTGGAGAAACCACACTTAGTAAGAAGCACAACGAGACTAGTGGAGCTCAACAAGACGAGGGGGTTTACTGTGCTCAAACCACTGTGGAAGCATCAGTAGGCGTTGCCGTAAGTGATAATGGAGTAAGCACGAATGTGGTGCAGGTAATATGCTCTCTCAACTTAGCTGGATTTTTTGTTTTTTTCCCCTTCTTTCGATTCTCTATCTTGACAAATCTGTTTCTTTCAATTTTCCGTTTTAATAGCATGAAGACACAGCAGACTCTCAGGATACAGATGCTGGTTCGCCCAAAAGAACAGGTGAGAGTGAGGCAATGAGCGAAGATGTGCACAAGACACCCCAAAGGGCTGACTCGGATGGTGAAGATGATGAATCAGATGCAGAACATCCCGGGAAAGTCTCCATGGGAAAGAAGCTTTGGACTTTCTTGACGACGTAGCCCAACCTTTGATCAGAGGATGTAGTTTGGTCTGGCCTATGATGATGAAGAGCTAATCTTCTTCTGTTGACAATATTAGTGTTTCGCTTGTTCATCTTTAGCTACGTAGGAAGCTTGTGTTAATTTCGTTTCGATATTTTTTTTCACCATAATGCAGTGTTTTCTCTCTAGCTTTTGTACCACTTAGTTGTTATCTTGTTAAAGAGGATCCTTCAAGAATTCTCAATTCTTTTGGTATGTTTTAGATGAATGATTTGTTTATTTTATGAGAGTGGTCTACTTGTAACCCACAAAGTCTTTTCTACATCTGTCTTGTTGCCAATTGAAACGACTTAAGACTCATTACTTTGCTTTGGAATCGTTTAGTCAATGATCTGACAGTTCTTCCCCATATGCCCTTATGAAGATCAGACAAAGACGAAGCTTCTCAAGTTCAGCTTCTTATAGAGCTCTTGTGCTTCAGTTTGTTTAGATGTGTCTGTGTGTATCTCATATCAGTTTGTGTTTGAGTTTCTTGAATCAAACTTATCAGTTTGTGTAAGCAAGTGTTGTTCTTTACATATCAGTTGTTCTTAGGGTAATTTATGATTGTTTGATTCGGAAACTCCATGTTTAGCAGTGTGTATATCTTGATGGAGTGCAGGTGTTATTCAACTACGTTCTAATGCAATGTGGTATTTTCCTAAGATGATTTGGTGCCTTGTTTGATTCTGGGATTGAAAGTGGATTTGTTCTTAGCTGAATATTAGCGTTGTGATGTGTTTTTGGTGTGGGATCTGTTGAGACTGTTCTTGGTAGTGAGTAGTGCATTCAACATAAGTGTAATCTAATTGCTATCAATTTTTTTACCTTTAACTCTGTTACTCCATCAAGGTTTTAATCTTGTGAAATGTGTTGGCTCTGTTTTGGCTTTGTGTGTAGATGGCAGACCCTTTAACTGCCTTGATGTATGCGGTACAAGTGATGAAGTTTCTCAAGAGTCTCACAGAGAAAACTGCGAGAGAAAGGGAAACTTCATCTTCTGGGGTCGAGAGAATAGGCAACAATGAAGTTGAAGTTAGCAAGAAGGAAGAAGACAGAAAAGAAGAAGAAGAAGAAGAATAAGATGGTATGTTCATTATTAACTATTAAGGAGGAAGAAACTCTAGAGAGAATAAGAGTGGCTGCTAATGATAGAGCTGTGCAGTCATGTAGTTTGTTGTTGAATGTTGCTATGATATGAGACTAACTTTGTGGGAAGAACACCACAATTGTATTGTTTCTTTTTAAGTACCCCAAGTAGAATCCTACTAGTGGACACCAAATTTTTTCAAAGTTAATCTAAGAGGTGCTTAAGTTATTAATTGCAAAATATATTATATAAAATTTGATAAGTACTTTTCATGGGGATGACCACTGGATATGCTCTTATGGTTATAATTTGTGTTAGTTAGGTTTCACGTCTGATGAGCTTACTTTGTAATCATAAATACTTCTGTTTGTAATCAACTGGTGGTACTGGCTTATGTATGATATAAAGTTATAATACTTGTAGAAAAAAAAAAAAAAGTCTCATACTTTGTTCTAGATAGATGGGAGATTTACAGAGGATGAAGTGAATATGAGAATGTAAAGTTGTAAACAGAAAAGAGAATGCACTTAGAATAACAAACGAATAATTTAACTTACACAAAAGGAATGATATGTATAATGATTGACAAAATAAAAAGGAAAAGTTTAAATTACTCAGATAGGAACAAACCTATCAACAACACCAAACTTATGTTCTCTCTACTTAACAAAGGAAAAAAACAACTGAGTGTCTGAGCACTCTTGACAACAAACCAATAGTTATGGAAAGGTTCTTAATCTGTACAGTTTCTTCTTCTATAGTCAAAAACACTATATGTCATCATAGCACCTATGCAATGTACAAATCCGTCCTTCCCTCTCCTCTTTTAGTTCCTTACATAACCCCTCCGAATGAGGTATCTCAGTATAACTCTGAGAACAAAAGAGATAACAAGTTAAAAAGCTAAAAGAAGTTGCAGAGAAGATCATAAAAGTCATAAACATAGCAATTGAAAACTTACTTGCAGCCTGGTATGGAGCAAATGTTCTCTTGGCAATGGATGGCGTGAAACCTTACTGCCTGTGACATTCGGAGGCAAATAACACAATAATCTCCAGTCACTCTGCTTTCGCATTGTTTAATGTGACTGTACAATGATTTAACTAAGTTGCATTTAGGGTATGAGCACGACTCAGTAGAAGCCGGGGTGGTGAGGCGGCATTGATACGCATGCCCTAATGCGTTCATGAACTCTAGAACCTATCAGAGAGAGTAACAAAGTTGTTAAAACGAGTTAAAAGTTATAAAAAAAACACACCAAAAGAAGTAAATATGTTATCAAGACTTACATTTACCATACCACTTATAGGCACTGATCCATTAGCTGAAGGGAGTGAAGAGAAAAGATGATTATGACGAAGCGTAATGTTGTCGTTATAACATCCAATGCAAGCTCTGTAATCATGACAAAGCACACAAGGGAAGTAGAGCGTTGTCGGCGAAACATCTTTCTTGCAGTCCGTGCATGTGATGAGACTGGTGCTAGAGTTTTCAGAGCGACGATGGAGATGGTCCTTGTTCGATGCATGAAGATGGTGAAGTATCATCATCGAAGAATGCTTGGCACGTCGAAGTGTGTTGAACATGTAATTATTCTTTTGAGACAAAGCTAAGAACCCTTGTCTGCTTTCGAATATACTGTCTTCTAGGATGATATCATTATCCACTGTTGTAACTTTCACCAGCTCCTGTGGAAGTGAGAAACCAAACTTAAATTTAGTATAAAATGAGAGCTAATTAATTATAACAAATGAAAACTTAAAAGAAAGGCTAATAATTAAGTAACCTTTGTGAGATTATGCTTCTCTTCTTTATTGGGATCATATATGTGTTCACCAGGTAGCTCTTCTTTTGCATCATAGCAGCTTTCACAAAGATGAAGATTCTTGCATTTGTAGCAAAACCATCTCGATCCAGACAATATAGGTTTCAAGCAACGAGTGCATGAATAGTTCAGATCCACCACCAGGTGATATTCCTTCTCTTCGAGTACTTTTGTTTCAAGCTACACAAAACAGAAATGTTAAGTTAAAATAAAACATCCGCAAAAGTTTCCGAAAGAAGAAAGGTATCCAAAAGTTAAGTAAAATGAGATATACCTTTTGTATGAGGAGAATGTTTTTAACGTCAACAACATCAACACAACGACCCGTAGTTTTGTAATTCAAACACTTCAGTTTTCTTTTAGTAAGCGACTTCAACATCCTGGGCAACTCGTTGTTCTTATCTTTCTCGATTTTTTGAAGCTCACACTCAGCATGGTTGGACCAGAAACATCCTTCAAAGTAAGGCAACCGTGCAGCTGTCATGTTGGAGGTTGACTCCTCTGTCTGAACAAAGAACCGTTTATGCAAGTTTGTAATATTCATCACCACACCTTGCTCGACTGCTTTTTTAAGCATTGACTCGTACCTGCATTAATGGTTGTTTATGTCAAATACATACAGTTTTCCTCACAAGAACAATGAACAAAGGATATATATAGAACACTAACCATTGAAGAAGCTTCTTGTCAGTGGGGGTTTGCTGTGTCTTAGGATGAGAGTACATAATGTATTCTGTTCCAGGGTCTGGTGAACATGACCATATGTAACTCTTTGTGAAACCCCTAAGCTTACAGTACTCAAGGTATCCAATCTATCAGAGAAGAAAACAAAAAAAAATACACAGAAACATGTCAAAGTCAATAATAGTTTAAAGATAGCATTTAAGCACATATGAGTAGAAAGAGACAATGTATATTACCAATATTTCATGATAAACGAAAGTTCTCAGAGATTCTCCAGAGAATGTTTTTCTCTCTGGTCTAAAGTACTTGACTGAATCGAGATATACGATGTATGTGCTGCGTTGGTTAGGTTGGCTACATTCTGATCCAAACTCTTGGACAAGCAAAGCAAAGATGAATACATCAACACCATCTATTTTTTGAAATACGAGAATAGCCTGTAACATATCAAAATATTAATGACAAAGTAATTAGTAAGAGGTTTTGAAACTACATAAGTGGAACAAAACGTTTAAAGTCTCACCTTTGATCTGTAAGGGAACTCAGTAGGATAGTTTTCTCTCTGGAGCAAATCTGCAAGTGGTTTGTAGACGGTTGTGAGTTTGTCAGCAGAATACACAACTCTGAGAGTAAGAGCCTCTGGTTCAGGTACCTTGTAAAGAAAAAAAGTAACAAGTTCAGTACAAGAAACTAGGTTTCAAATGAACTGAATCTCAAATGATAGAAATTAAACCACAAGGTTCTTACATCATCTATGTTCTTCTTCAAAGCGTTTGCGGTTTGGCTTCTCTCTTCCCCAAGGCGCCTCTCTAGCCTTCTCTCTAGAAAGAAGCTGAGCATGGTTGCAGGCAGGTCTTTTGCTCTCCAATCTGCATTTTCAGGGACTGGCATGTTGTTGTTCACTTTACGCTCATCTAGTAAACATTTGGGACAAACATAGGTTGCTGTTTTGTCTTTGTCCTTAAGCATGTTGTACAGACCACATATCTGATGTTGCCATTTCTCGCAAGTTCCACACTGAATATACTGCTCAAACAAAAGTAACTTATAAGTAAGATTCCATAAAACAGAACTGAGAGATTAAGACCAAGAGATCAGAGATAGAGTTTAACCTGTTCCATAACTTGGTTGTCAGCGTTATTCCTCTTAACCATTTTGGATTTTGTGAAAGTGACTCCAGTTATTAACGTGACCTTGCTTGCTAAAGGGTGGTAACAAGGACGGCAGAGGTAAAGCTGAGCATCGCTTGTCACTTCCTCTTCCGCAGGGGTGTAATAGAAACCTTTGTCACCAACGCGGCGGTGGCATGATAAGCAGTATATTGGAGGTGGTGGAAACGAGAGTTTGCCATCGCCACACAAGTGACATGATTCCTCCTCGAGGTCAGACTTTTCTATATATAAGTTTACCTGATCACTTGACTTCGTGGTCAGGCTCGTTAAATGCAAGTTGATCTCCTCTTCTGTGAGGTTTTCAAGCAGTGAGACACCTGCCTTGTTACACCTTTGTGGAGACACTGTGCCAGCATTAGCCTCCGATGTTGTCCCTTCTTCCCATGTCATCAGCTCAATAGCCGCAGCAACTCCCTGTTTCTCATATTGATCCACGAACATTGTGTCTGCATTAACCTCAGGCGACTTTGTTCCTGCAATATATTCCATCATCTCCTCAATAGCAGCGTCACTAAATTCCGTATCCTCAAAACCTTCCAGTAGCTTCTCAAGGTCCTGCAGGGAAATTATGTCTACATTAACCTCAGAAGACTTGTTCCCTTCATTGCATGCCATCATCTCCTCAACAATAGGAGCACTAATTTCCATCTTCTCATGGTTCAGAGGCCTTTCCTCAGTCTCAATCATTTCTGTGTTGGGCATAAACAGATCATCAAAAGTAGAAACTTGAACAAACTTTTTTACTGGTTTTACCTGATTGCTAGCAACCAAAGGAGGATTGTTCTGCACATGATCTTGATTCATTACACCAGATGGTCCACTGTTAGAGGCTCCAACAACATCACAAACAGTACTCCCCAGCATTGTGGATGCATTTGAATATTTTCCAGCATTAAGAGGACCCTCCACAAATCTTGGTGGGGGAACAGGTTGAGCCGAGCCAAACATTTTTACTGGTTTCATATAATTGCTTGTATCCAAAAGAGGATTGTTCTGCATATCTTGCCTCATTACACCAGAAGGTCTGCTGTATTGGTTAGAGGCTCCAACAACAGCAGAAACGTTACTCCCGGGAGCCATTGTGGATGTATTTAAACATCTTCCAGCATCCTCAAATCTTGTCGGTGGAACAGGGTGAGCCGAACCAAACTTTGTTACTGGTTTCACCTGATTGCTTGTATCCAAAGGAGGATTGTTCTGCACATGACCTTGCTTCATTACACTAGAAGGCCCGCTGTATTGGTTAGAGGCTCCAACAACAGCACAAACGCTACTCCCCGGCATTGTGGATGCATTTAAACATCTTCCAGCATCAGAAAGACCATCCTCAAATCTTGGCGATGGAACTGCGTGAGAAGAGCCAGGATACGGGTCAAAAGAAGACATTGTGGATGTAGCTAAACGTCTTCCAGCATCAGGAGCAGGCTCCTCAAACCTTGGCGGTGGAGCATGTTGAGCAGAGCCAGGATAGGGCTGATAAATAGGCACTGTGGATGTAGTTAAACGTCTACCAGCATCAGAAGCAACCTCCTCAAACCTTGGTGGTGGAACATGTTGAGCAGAGCCAGGATAGGGCTCATGAGAAGCCGTTGTAAATGCATCTAAGCGTCTTCCAGCATCAGAAGCAGCCTCCTCAAACCTTGGTGGTGGAGCATGTTGAGCAGAGCCAGGATAGGGCTCAATAGAAGTCGCTGTGGATGCATTTAAACGTCTTCCAGCATCAGAAGCAGCCTCCTCAAATCTTGGCGGTGGAGCATGTTGAGCAGAGCCAGGATAGGGCTGATAAAAAGGCACTGTGGATGTAGTTAAACGTCTACCAACATCAGAAGCAGCCTCCTCAAATCTTGGCAGTGGAGCATGCTGAGTAGAGCCAGGATAGATTTGATAAGAAGGCATTGTGGATGTAGTTAAACGTCTACCAGCATCAGAAGCAGCCTCCTCAAATCTTGGCGGTGGAACAGAGTGAGCAGAGCGAGGACGAGGACAGGGCTCCTGATCAAACGGAGGCGTTATAAACCTTTCTAGTGGTTCCAAATGATTGCCAGTAATCACAGGAGGATTGTTCATCAGATGATCTTGGTTCATTACACCAGAAGGTCCACTGTATTGGTTAGAGGCTCCAACAACAGGACCAACACTACTCCCCGGGGCCATTGTGGATGTATTAAACCACCTTCCAGCATCAAGAGCAACCTGATCAAATCTTGGCGGTGGCATTGGGTGAGCCGGGCCAAAATAGGGCTGTCGTGTAAAAACACTCTCCCAAGGATTCTTAGGAACTTCGAATCGATATTGAACATCTGTCTGAGACCTTCTCGTTCCAAGATACTGGACTTCATCATCAGATCCATCATCACTCGGCTTTGGTGGATTCCTCTTCCTCAACCTCTGATCCAACGCATTGGATCTCTCTGGTGCACGAGACTTAGGTCTCGAGTTCCTTTTCCGTTTACGTGACGACGACGGCTCCATCTCAGATTACGAATGCTCCCTGCACGATTCAATCAACATGTCATGATCATGCACAAACGTAAACAAACAAAAAAGGATTATCTTGTTGCACAAGGTATACTCTAAATGTTGAAATTAAGATATAGAAATCCTCAACCTGAAAAAAACACAAATCTAAGCCATACTAGATTCCATAATTTCATGATCCAAGACAAAAACCTTTAATAAATATGTCAGATTTAATGCATTAGACAGATTCAACCATAATTTCTGGAGTTTAATGATCTAATTATGTATAATTGAGGTACTAGTACTACACAGACGAAGGATGAATTAGAAACCCTAAATCAGCTGCGTCAGCTACAATTCAACAAAGGCTGTGTAGTGTTTTGTTTTTGGTTACTACACAACCGAAGCATGACGAAGCCCTAAATTTCAACAAACGGGTCATCGTGATAATTCACGAATAGGTCGAAGAAGAAACCCAAAACCAAAAACCTAGCTAATAGAGTAAAGAAGAAGATAAAGAAGAAGGTGGAACCTTTACGTAAGCTAAGAGGACAAAACAAAGATATGTTGAAAGAGAGCTGACTTCGCTTGGTCTTTGTTGTTTACCTTATTTAGGGCTTCGGGAATTTCGATTTGTATTTAGGCTTTTTATTTAGAGATTTATGCGAATATATAGCAAAAATAAGAGATTAGAAATCAATGTAATAATGTAAATATTCAGAGATTTGGTTTTGTAATGATGATCAACAAATCAAGAGGGAGCTTTTTTACTCTTTCTTTTACTCTTTAAAAAGCCATTAAAGAACAAAAGTTTTCTCTCTAGATTTTGATCTCTGAATACCGTTTTTACAGTTGGTTGAAACTCGTTGCTTCACGCCCCTATTTATAGGATAAACGGATCAAGAAGATAAAAAAGTGCATTAAAACTAAATCTAAAGATTTTTGGAAACTCAATTAGTAGACAAGAATTTGTAATTAATACTTTTGATAAATTTTGTTGAATAAAGACTAAAATTTTCTTGAAACATTTTATTCAATGGATTGCAAATTAATTAATATACTACCAGCACACCACACTCTTTGAATAGATTTGTTATAAAGAAGAATAAATCTTACAAAATCTATGGAAACTAAATTATTAGAAATGAATTCAAAAATAATTGATGAGAAGTTTGAATAAAGTTTATTAATTTATTAGATTTCCAAATTCTTTGTTCTAAAATTTTATTCAATGGATTACAAAGTTATTTGATATAAATACCACATACTATATCACTACTGTACTCCATATTGTATGGTCTGAAAATTCAGAGAGACAAGATTGTAGCATGAGGACACATGTACTATTACGAAAACATAGTTTAATATTACCAGAAATATAGCAAGATTGATGTTGTTTTGTTTGATCTTGGCTTGTACGTTAAACGAATTTAATTTATCATTTCTTGGTAATGAGTAGTGGTCGGGACGAACTAGATTCACTGAGATGTGCTAGATTTTAGTAGAGACAAAACAAAAAAGATCTTACACATTGATTGACATGTTTACAACACCAAACTAGCAAGATCACGTTTCCAGTTTTTTAGGCCACGGACATAGCATTTGGTTCGAACAAAAACATGGTGCATAAGACCAATATGGGATTGTACACTTACTAATTAATTCATCTTCTGCTGCTAAATCTATATATGGGATCACTATCCTCCCTCTACTTTAGATTTGGATCATACAAAGAGTACAAATACCTCTCAGATATTGTGGATCCCGGGCTTCTTGGTACTGAACCGAACCCGTGGCCGTGATCATATCTAATGCCATACCTTGGAGGATAGCTTGAAGAAAGTTCAACACCTGGAGGGCACATCTGGTTTCTATAATCCTGTGGTCGACGGTGGTCATGATAAGATGTGTTATTCCTCTGTTCCCATAGCCACGAATCTGCGTTTTCTGGAATGGGTGCGTTAATCCCAGGAAACCCAACTGTCATTATCTTTCTTGGCTCTTGAGGGCTTACTTTCTCCAAGATTTCACCGTCCTCAATCTTAGCTTCTTCCTCTTCTTCAGTCTCTTCCTCACCAAATATAGTGATTCTTGAATGATCTTCTTCCTCTTCTACAGCTAAGACATAAACAAAAAGCAAAGACAGCCAAGTCATGAACAAAGATGCCTTTGATATGATGATGATGATGTATGACGGTGATGGGAGATTATGCAAGCTTACCTAAATATCCCGGTGGATATCCAATCTCTCGCATTCTGTGTAGCCATGGAGGAGGATCAAGTTCCTGGATAAAAACAAGAATTGCTTAATCAAGAAGCTCATTTCCTCTGGTCTAATTCCAATACAAGAAAAGAATTGATTGAAAATTACCTTTAGACCGAGAAGCTGACGTGTCTCTGCATCAAGTGAACCGGGCTTCAAGCCATCATATTTTCCACTTTGAGGGCTCTCATAATATCGGGATGGTATACGGGATCCAGGAGTCTGATTTCTTTTGCTTTTATGTTGCCTCCGAGCATTATTAACTGCTGATCGATCAAAAGGCTTTGGACATTCTCTCAAGGAATGACTGTACGCGCCGCAATTAAAGCAGCGAGGAGGATCATCAATAATCTCCAAGCCTCTAGAACAATAAAGACAATCAAAATAAATAAAAAGAATGCACAAAATAGATACTAGAGTGTCAATAGTAAATTCACTCCCATTTATGTCACAAGTAAAACGAAATAAGATATCCGGATAAAGCTAGAAACAGTAGGAAACACCACAAATCTAGATTTGTTTACCCTTCCAAGTTATTTGAACCAGCGGCTGAATCTAAACCAATTGTAAATCCACGGTTATAAAGAGGAGTGGTGCTACTTTCCACAGGAACAAACTTCTTCGAAGAACTGTCACCAGTTTGGTAGTCTAACCAAAATGACTGCACAAACAATAATGTATCTATTAGTAAGGATTTCGTACAACCTGAAGACATCAAGCTTTGATATGCTCGAAAAAACACTTTCACTCACTACAGATGATGTCTTCTGCAATCCCACACGCAAAGCAGGAAAATATGTCTCATCACCAGATTCTAGTACTAGTTCTTGATCCTGATCATATAGCAAATGACATTGTTTTAGCTTAGGTTATAGCATGTAATATTAAAAAAAGTGTATCTGCACAGTTGCTAGATTTCGTTTACAGTCATTCTTTCAATAACAACTTGAAACTGATCGAGTTTTGCAAAACAATCAGAAGACCTACAAAAAAATCATAGCTACATACCTCGGACAAAGAATTTTGTTCTGCCTCCCATTCTGACCATTTCTGTAATAAGCTTTCCAGCTTCTGCTTACTAGCTCTGAAAGATGCAGGAGACAAGAATAAAAATAAGTAACAATTACATGATGACAGCAATGTTTGAGCATTCAAATGTTAAAATTTACTTGTGGTCGAGTTAAGAGTCTTCGTTTCACCTAACCTTGTTAAGTGACTATAAGTAACATGGACTGAAGGTTCCTGTTCCCCGGAGGTTGTTCTGGATCTTTTAACACCAGATTTAGCTGACACATGTAATTATGGAAAACAAAGAAAGAATACATAATCACATGCATTAAAATCTCAGAGCATATGATGATTAAACATGTTCAAATTCCATGTCAATGATAAAGAGTAACTAACTATACTCGACAAAGAGGTTTAAGAAACGCATGCATTTGCTAACCTTCAACATAAAAAAAAAAAAATAAGGATACAACTAACATCCACTTTCACGGTTTCAACACTCACATTGACCGCATCCTCCCTAACCTCCACTCTTGATGTTTCCCCTGAAAACTGGCCAGACACATTTCTAAAATCATCTTCTGTTAGATCCATGTCTTCCTCCATGTCTATATTCAATTCCCCATCCACAGCTGATAAAGTCAAGAATAACAAATACATGAGATAAATCCCAAAAACTATTCCTTATTCAAATAAAACTATCAGACAAAACTCCTTGGAAACTCTGAGTATCAAAGCTCAAAGCTTTTCCCTCAGTTTTAACCGATAAACTCTTCTAAGCTTTCTCTAACTTGAGTTTCACAAACGAGACCTTATCCTTATTTATAGTTAAACGTAAAAGTAAAGAAATGGAAACTTGATAAAACATCCAAAAACAGTAGACACAAAGAATACATATCAATATAAAAATGGACCTCAGGTGATTTGTTTCTGACCTTCCAAACAAGAGCCGCTTGAAGCTTCCATGTTAAATAAGACGTTTATCTATTATCTCCTAAAAAAAGTATCACTAATCATCCACCAACGACAACCCTGCAAAACAAAAGCAAATACCAATAAGAAAACAAGAAAAAACTAAACAATAAATAGATACAATTCCAAAAACTCAAAATATCATTCAGAATCCAGATGTAAACATAGCAAATGAAATTGTCAGGACTTATCAAGAATCCAATCCTCAGTCTACAAAAAAAATTCCAACTTCTTAGAGCTAGTGAACTCAATCACAGCTCATATTGTGTTCACCAAAACCCAATTCACAAAAAAAAAAAATGAAAACTTGAAGCAACAAGAATCAAAAGTGTCTCACTTAAAACCCTTCACCATCCCTATTCAATCAAAAGTGTTCTGTTCACACTAAGAATCTCACTATCCTCAAGTCGATACCCTCACCATAAACTAACTCAAAAAGGTACAATATATAAAACTATGAAACTAAAAGGAATATGAAACCACACGAACTCGCAAATCCAGATACTTCGAGCTCGTCATTTCAAATCAAAGCTCATATTGCTTCCCCAAAACCCAATTGACAATAAAAATGAAAACTTGAATCAACAAGAATCAAAAGTGTCACACTTTAAACCCCTTTCTCTATACCTTTTCAATCAAATTTGTGAAACAGCATTAGGGCTGAAGAATTTTACAAGTTCACAGCAAGAATCATGTAGTATAGAGTAAATGAGAGGTACCCAATGGACAAAACTTGGGAAATTGAAGGGAATATGAAACGACGCGAAGCGAGAGATGTAATAAAGTCTTCACCTTTTTCAACGGGAAACAAAAATTGTGAGTGGCGATGATGATAGATCTGTGGGGGGGGATTCAAAAGAGAGGCTTTTTCCTTTTTATTTGTCCGCTCAAGAACAATGACAAAATCATCCAGTGTAACGAAGTCCACCGTAACTATTATGTACCAATTTAAACACAAAGGCCAAAACCAAAAACTCATTCAGTTGCCATGGTCTCAATTCTAATGGGCCTACTAAATAAACGAAGGTTAAGATCCAATTAAATGATTATAAGGCCCAAAAGCAAATATGAATTTTTTTTCTTTTCTTTTTTCTCTCAATCAAGTACTTATACAAAAAAATTTTTTTTGGATTTAAGGTTAAACTCATACAAAGTTAGGAATCAAAAACTAATATAATTTTTTCTAATAATTTTAGGTAAAAATATCGTAATTTATCTATTCTTAGAAAGAGAGATATTAAATAATATTTTAATTACAAAATATATATATATCTAGAAATTGTTAGATCGGACATTTGAGATAGTTTAGTCGTAAAATATAAAATATTTAACTTTTCTAAATGAAAAAGCTAAAATAACCCTAATTTGATTAAGAACTTGAACTTTGAATTTTGGATCCTCTTCTCTTATGCTTGGACTAATAACATCCAATGAATTCAGCTTCATAAACGATTCTTTACATTTATTTAATTCAAAAAGTCTCTTATTAGCAGCAACAGTCTAATATTATTCTATTAAAATGTTTAATTTCAATCTATCCACATTTCTAGGAAAATTTCCGTTGAAAATTAATATATTTCTAAAACTTAGACAAAAAAAAAAAAAAAAAAACAGGCGAATCAAGAATTGAAAAAGTAACCAATTTGAACTTTTTTGTTGTTGTTGTTGTTCTTATGGATTTGTGTATATGTTGACAGCTGACCAAAAATGTATATAGATAGCTGTTTGCATAATGATGTGTACGCAACTGCACATGTTTCATGCTTGTAACTAGTTATTCTTCATAATATACACTTTTTCATTTGTCGATACAAAAATATACAAATGTGAAATCAGAAGTCGCGTAGTATTGTGGTAACCGATACTTTCAACAAGACCACACACAATTTTTCAACTCCTTTAATTTTGTGTCCTCACAAAATTGCGTATAACTTTTAAATTGAGTTTGAAGATTATTTTTTCTTCACTAATGTTTTACGTTTAGGATCTTAATCTTACATTGGGATGTTAATTCTTACATTTTATGGTAGAAATTTTATAAGTTTCAGTGATCATATCTTGAAAATTTATTTTCCACATGAACAATTCTACTTGGAAAGTTAGAATTATCCTTGTGATAAACATCATGCAAGATCTTTTCGACTTACTACACAAGATTTTCTATCTTATTAAAGATATATCTATATGGTATGCTATTCATCTTTCATATTCATGAGATAGATCACTATATAGAACTTTGCTAAAAAGATACATAATGTATTAAACAAGAACCATTATTTGGTGTTAGCTTTTTGTCATCAGTGTTAGCTTTTTTGTCATCAGTGTTAGCTTTTTAAAATCTGAATATTTGATTGTACTAAACTAAACCATATATAGTACTAAAATAATAACCAAAAAATAAGATATAAAGGTCACGAGACTCACATAGTCACAAGTCTCACAACCTTTGACATCAGCCTCCACCACACACACACACACACACACACAAACAAATATTAATAAAAATATATATATTTTATATGTGTATATATTAATATTCTCCTCTATTCCATATTCTCCATTTTCATCTTCTTCTCTCAATATCTCCAAGTCACACTATCAAGAGGTTCCATATCTTATACTCTCTCTCTTTCTTGCCTCTTTTCTGAGATATATTCCTTGTTGATATGAATATATGTATCTCTAGTTCAATCTTTTTATCTTGCAAATTAGTTACAAATAAAAAAGGATAAAGATCTTTGAAACTTTATGTTAAGATTTATCTTTATACTATAGTCTTACAATATTCTTGTATTAATTTCATCTACAAGTGAGTCGTATACGCTAATAATATATAGTAATTAAGCACACAAATCTACACTTACTTTATGTAATTGGAAGATCTAATTAGATTCTTTCTTCAGGTTTTCTACAAATAGATTAGATGGTGGTGAGGATGAGACTAGGGAAGATTGTGGAAGGCTTGAAGTCGAAGATAAAGACTGGTTTAAGGATGAGGAAGAGATCATCATTATCATCATCATCATATTCATCTAATTCATCATCATCATCATCATCATCATCATCGTATGAGAAGATAGAGAAGAGTGAGAGCATGAGATTTGAGTTGAGAAGCAGAAAGGCACACAAAATTATCCAAGAAACCCTTCAAATTGCCGACTCTCCCAAATCAAGAACTTATGCTTTCTGATATATAAGTCATCTCTCTTTTTTAACATCCAAAACATATTCATACATACGTACGAATTTGTGTGTACGCATCTGTTTATACATATCATATCTTATAAGATTGTACGTGTGTATGTATGTATGACAGTATGAAAGGTTATTATATGTGTGATGTGATGGACCTTATCTCTTATCTTTGCAAAATAATCATAATTAGGTGATTACATCAATATATATAGTCATGATTCTGCTTTAATTAGTTGTATCTAAAAGAAAGAAAAGTATATATATATCTCTCTCGATTTTACTAATTTCTTTTTCAAGTTACGGAATTCAAGAGTTTGGGGATGTGAATATTCACAAAAAGTTTATACATTTTTACAAGGTTTACCATAATAAGGGTATAAAAATATATACCTTGAATTATATCATTGACGATATTATTGAAATACTGATTCTTCTTGGGAGAAAAAAACTTATAAGAAAATATTATTATTGTTGAAACACAATTTTATCAGCCAAGTTACGTTTCTCATTTTGTTTAGGAGATAGATAACAATGAGATTTCAAATCAGAATTTTGTGCATGTAGTGGAGACTAAAGTTGAGTTATTTGACCTTTCAGAACCATAAACCAAAACCACAAAAATACACACATTTTTAAAAATACTTTCAGAACAGTAAAATTCACTTTGTCTTTTATTATTTGTTTTATTAACATTCTCTATGTCTTTTAATAGTCAAAATATTTGTAGAACCACAAATGTAATATATCTCTTATATATGTTCAAAAAGTACGTAAAAGAAATAAAAATAATTAATTACGATCACATATATGAAAGTTGTTACATGAGTTTCTTTCCAATGTCAGCATCATGCCTTCTACGTAAGTCGTTTGTGATGTGTTGTTAAAACATATTTAAACATCATTTCTGATGTGTTGTTCAACCAATACTTTGAAATTTTATGTCATAATTCCTCATATTTATCTGGTAAAATATCACAATCTCAGTACAAATAAATATTATTTTCATAGATTGAAATTTATGTGGCAATCTAAATACAAATTTTGTTATTTTTGCTAAAAGTGATACAAAGTATATAATTGCCGACAAAATAAGGAACTCATCAGATTTGTCGAGGTTTTGTTTTGTTTTGTATTGTCAGTTCTTCTGGCGTATCTCAACCTAACAAAAATTAATTTTTATTAGAATAGTCACAATATATTAATTAACATGACATACAAAAAGCAAGTGTTTCTAAATTTGTATTAAGGGTCATTGGTCTATATATAATCTTTCTCGACCTATATATGATAAGTTTTATTAATACATTATAATACATGTGATATATTAACTAACAGATTTTACCAATTAAGTAACAAACAAAAGAAGGAAACACTTCTTGAATATTACTAGATATAGAGATAAAAGATTAAGTAATTCGAAAACATCCATTAAAGTAAAATAATCATGAGTAATGTATATGATTTGTGTGGCTTATATTGAAAAGAAATAAAGTTAACAATTACGATTTTTTTTTTTTTTTTCGGTTTTGTAGAAAGATTGATACAAAACTTAATAAACAATTTGACGTAAGTGGTGCATATATGTCGTTATGTAATTGACTCTTCATAAACCTAAAAAAGAGGTTGAGACATAATAGAGGTTGCTTAAGTAGGTGGAAGAGAGACATACATGCCCATGCCTATACATTACTACAAACCAAATCTTACATACCAAATCCTCTCTCTTTTTTATTTTAAAACATTGAGATTTATATTATAGATTCAAGAAGTTCTCGTGGAATGGAACAAGGCATGGCAAAAATAGGTCCCCGATTGTATAAAAAGGACAAGAGATAGAGAATATTACTACACAACACTAAGATCCAACAGTGTGAGGACACTTAGTCTTTATGAATGACAAAAACAAGCACAGTGTGAGGACAAATTCTCACCATTTATTCCACCTTACATGCATCTATAACAAAACCAATGCAAGCTCTACATATTTGAGGAAGAAGACAACAATTATTTTTATATAATAAAAGTTATAAGAAGAATTTGGAAACATCAAGGCACATGAAAATGATAATTCAATGATATCGTTCACATGATATGTTTTGGTTATACAATCCACAAGTTTTGTGAGAGGGAGAGATAGATGTGTCAATTAAGTCGGTCGTCCTCAATCGTCGTCTAAGAGATCAGTTGGTAACAGTTTGTCCTATAGGAAGGTTGTTAAAGGGTGAGGTCTGAGGTCTTGGGTTCGAGAAATATCAAACGCACCAATAACCTACCTGGTAGGTCAGAGAGCTGTGGACCAGATTTGAGCCTACATGAAAGAGGTTAGGGACGATGCACTGTAGAGGTTAGAGACGATGCACTGCAGCGCATGGGCGGGTTGTTACATAAAAGGCTTAGTTGAGTTACATATTATTTTCGCATCTCATTTCTTTTGAACTATAATATACAGTTATCTTGCAATTTTAGTCTCGTAGATTTTAGGAATGATTATTATTTTTACCTTTAAGTACCAAAACAATCTTAAGGGAAAAATATATCTTTTAATTTTTTTTGTTGATTTGTATAGAAACCAAACGAGTCCTCATTTAGTAATTTTAGTGGTTGGAAAACAACTAATTTTGCATAGAGCAAGTGAAGAAGTATCAGGATAAATGAAAACTATAGTTGGTTCATTTTAGAGAAAGAGGCTAAGAAGATCTTTTCTCTTTGCGATGTGATCTTGTGACAAAGATCTTTTCTTATTTACGTTCTTTGGTTTTTTTAGTCGGCATGACAATATAAGTTATATAACTACACAAAAAAAAAACTTTGATTTTGATACACAGTCCTACCAAATTTGGCAAACGAAAATCACATACAATTTTGAACTAATTATCCTATACTATACGAAAACATCCCAAACTCCGATTATCATTTATGTCGGAAAATACTTACAAATTTCCGACATAAATTTTGAAATTAATATGAAAAACTTTGTCTAGTTTCCGATTTACGGATTTAATGCTAGCAAATTATGTTTAGATTTATCATAATATTTAGTAATAGTCAAAAAGAGTATTTTAAAAACCACAAACTTATAACTTGTGCCCTAATAACCACACAATCTTAAATTTCAACAGCATAAGACCCTACGAAATATAAGAATCAATACCCCATGTGATGTGATTAACCACTCTCCAGGAAACGTTTATGTACGCCTCATCATGCAATTGTGTTTTTCCCACTTTTTCAAGATTATTAATAAAAACGTCTTTAGCTCTATACTAGAGATTAAATTTTATAAATGATAAATTAAAAATGGTCCCGTCCCTATAAACGATTTGGTCCCGTCTTATCATGCAACTACTCGAGAGACATAAAGTTCAAATATTAAAAATCTTTAGAATAACTATTTGCCTATACTTTGGAACAAAACATTTTGTTATGTTTAATCCAATATACTGCTGATGAAGTTACAAGTTTGTGTTGGTAAGAAATGAAGCAACGGTTTACGTGGTTTTATGCTACGTAGATGCTGAACGTTGTTCAAAGTTCGTGTAGTTAGGGGCTGCAACATTTGATTTGGCTGGTTTAGAATTCAATTGTCAAACTTTGGTAGGGTTGCAAATTGAAACACCCACGTATCACTGAGCAGCTGTTTTAGTTCGGTCAGTTTGGTTTAAATCCTGTTTGCACATAAGAATTTTTCAATTTTCTTATCATGCAATGAATCTTAACGAGTTAACAGAACAAAGAATGAAGATATATATTCACATTAAGATCAAAACGACTTGAAAAATCCAATATTCAAATCTTTACACATGCTTCAACTTGTTTTCAAATAACATCGAGAAGAAGAATCGTTTTACTCGTACTCGAATTGTACCTCCACATGAATGTATTTCCTCATGAGTTGAACAATGGACCATGTGAATGTCGCCAGAATCTGGCAATCTCCTTGTGTTTTGGTTTCTGAGACAACCCCATAAATGATCAGCTTCTTCAGGTTCGGACATCTTCTTAGCAACTCCTCCACCCAGATTGAGAATACATCATTGATCACGGTCCATCCGAGCTCCAGTACAGTCACGTTCACCAACTGAGTTGTCCCTTGCAAACTATAATGAGCAGCTCCATCTTTTAGGTCGTAGCTTAATGACAGATGTGTCAGTTGAGAGAAACCGGCAGCAATGGACTCGAGATCGATGATTTCATCATCATCATCAAATACCACATCCCATAGACGGAGTTTCCTCAGTTTCTGTGATCTTGAGATCATATGGTAGAACTTTGGCCAGACCATTGTAAAGTGATTGACATCAACTACTTCAAGGCTTTCGGATGTTTCCATGATATCAAGATGAATAACACTAACATCGTTGAGCTTGAAATGCTTCAAAGTCCCGTTTCCTATAAGCTCAAAAAGCTCGAGGACACAGTCTTTCATGTGCAAGAACTCAATACTATCAGCCTCCAAGATAAATTTATCCAAGCTAATCCCATCGAAATAAACACTCTTGAGCGTCGGGCTACTAAGTTCAATCGTCACTTGCGCATCCGACATTGCAATCTCGAGACTCACAAGTTCCAAACTCTCAATCATCGGACATGCACTGAGCAAAAGATTCAGATCCAAGGCTGAAATGCTGACATAACTCAACGAAAGGGATTTCAAACAAGGGAATCTCTGAAAACTTGGTTCAACACCAGTAATCGAATTATGAGCCAAAACCAACGCTTCAAGCTTTTGCCTCCCACAGATCTCAAGAATGTTAACATTAGGAGTGGTTCGAACATTATAAGACAACCGGCGCAAAGTGTCCCTAGTATACATAAGCCAAGCAATAACCGTGGCAGCCGAAAACTTATTCGCATCATCCATCATAACCGAAAGGCCTTGCAACCCCGTGGTTTGGAAAATGGTCTGAGTTATAAGGATCTCAAGACGATTCGTTGTAAGGTCCCGATAAAACGGCCAATCAGCGGAATTGAAAGAAAGCGCTTGAAGATGCTTACGACAAGCTTCACGCCATTTCCTACATGTAGCAGAAGCAATCACAACATCTCTAGCTCCTCCGAGACGTGAGAGTATGTTTCCAATAACTTCAACAGGGAGATAGTCCATAACTCTCAAAATAAGAGGATCAAATCAAAACCTCTTCCTTCAGATACTCAACAGCTACAATGGTAAAGATACAAAACAAGAGATTAAATAAATTAAATCAAACTGTAAACAAGAATCTCTCTCTCTCTCTCTATCTCTCTCGTTTCTACTGAAGACGCTAACATCAAATTCACAGAATTGGAAAATCATAGATCGAACAATACATCAGCAAGATTGTTTCGAAAGTAATCGTTGACTCTGGTTTCGGAAACAAAATCACCAGAAGCAAAGCTAAGAGTGTATCAGGTTACGAGAAAAATCGCGTGAATCTGTTGAAGATGAGGTAAGTTTCTATCGAAATTATACGAAATCAACCAATCGAAATTAATAGCGAAATGAAGAGGGGAAAAAGCGATAAACGAAGCAAAAATCAAATATATATTTACCGATTTTGGTTTTCCGGGAAGAAGAAAATGGCGGACGACGGTGGATCTGCGAGGAAGACGATCTGGTTTCTTAAGAGAGGAGACGACTTGAGGTTTTTTTTTTTTTTTTTTTTTTTTCCAATATTTTTCCGACAAATAAAAAGAAAATAAGTAATTAGTATTATTTGGGTGGGTAGGGTCGTGGACTCGTGGGGCGGGTTGTGAATGGTAAACGGCATCGTACTTTAGAAAAAAAAAGAAAAAAACTTTTTTTCAGGAAATTTGCTTTTCTACGATTTAATGTTTTTTTTTTTTTTTTTTTTTTTTTTTTTGTGAAAACAATTTATTGTTTTACAAAACTGACTTTTTGGGTTAGCCAGTTGGATTTGGAAATTTTCATTGAATTTGTTTTAATTTGATAGGGTTGGATCCGGATAATTAATATTGGAAAAAATTTCAGAAAAACATGAACATTGCAATTTTTTTTTTTTTAATAGAATTTTGTATGTGTTAGAAATATATTGCCAATTATGATTGATTTTCGAATTTAATACCGTGTATTTTTTAGCTTTTGTTAAATAAATCGCATTGTTAAGTAGTTTGATGAAACAAATTAGGTTTCGGCAAAATATCTGAACTCGGGAACCCGAACGGAACTCGACAAGAAATACATGAACCCATTTTATTACGATTCTGAAGAAACACCTGATCGATTCTTGTTCTCAATACCTAATAGGTATCATGTATTACCCGAATAGAACTCAGACTCGTGGGTATTTTTAAATACTCGAACACATTTACATATGTATGTTCATGGATAATCTCTGTTGGATGCTGCCATTTTGGGATGATTATTCTTTCTTAGTTTATTTCATGTCTCAAACATTATCACAACCAATCTTATTAGTATAAGACTTTTAGTTATGCTTTTGTTGGTTTTGTTTTTTTTTTGGAATGCTTTTGTTGGTTTTGACTTTAAGTTATGACTTGTTTAATGCTTCGAACAAAACGTGGTTAAATTTGTGTTTTTTTTAGTAATATTTTCTTTAAAAACTTGTTACTTTTGACAATTACTTTCGGATTTTATGGGTGTTTTGCGTAAATTCGGGTTGGTTTAGGTAGATACTATTCACACTCAAATATATTTCAGGTATATATATCATATTTTTTAAATTAATATCCGAAATACCCAAACCTGAAAAAGAACAAAACCGAACTCGATCCGAAATTTTAAATATATATACATTATTAAGTTTCTATATCACTAACCCCAAAATACCCGAACCCGAAAGATCCAACCCTAACTCAATATTCGAATGCACATGCCTAAAACAAGTTAAGAAAGTTAAGTTTCTGTTAAACAATTTACTATTATAGTATTAATTTTTACCAAAAGAAAAAAAGATTATATGATCAAATTAAATAATAATAATAAAAAGATTGAGAAATCTATTAAATATGTATGAAAATTCAAAGTTTCTGGTTTGGCTCGGTTTTCTTACACTTCCGTGTTTCAGTTCGGTTCACATTCCGTTGGTTCTCCAGTCCGGAAGCAGAAACCTAAGATTAATGCAGAAATCTTCTATAAACTTTTGTGAGAATGTAAACAAAAAAAATAAATAGGGGGATATTGCTAATATCCATAATTTCAAGATCAAACATTATGATCATATTTTATTTTTAGTAGTTACGCCGCTGGTACATCGTCTGAAGATCACTGCAATGCTTGCAGGTCCAAGGAAGCAGGTAAGGGTCTAAACAATAAGAGTGGATGCGCCGGAAATTGCAGAGGTGACATCTTATGAGAAGCTCCTCTGGTTCAGTCAAGTAGCATTTGCTGCAACCTGAAGCTCGAGCCTGCAGAAACAAAACAAAAAAAACACAAGAAGAAGAATGTTGTTGCAATCAAGATCAAGAGGTGCATATGTAGAAAAACTAAAGACTCTCGGGGAGATGGCAGTACCAGTGCACTGAAGCCTCGTCTTTCTTCTTCTTCAGGGAGTACTACGAGAGTGTTATTTGTTGAAGATAGGTCAGGGACTGTTTGTGAATATATCTTTTGATCGGATGAATCAGCGTCTTCTATCTTTGTTATGGTGATGAAATTGGACTTGCACAATGGACATGTTGTCTTCTTTCTTTCTGCAACCTACAGATGTTATTTGAAGATTGCATTTGCATCAATTACAGTATCCGGATTTTAGGAGTGTTAATTTGAAAGGCGAATAAGATAAACTCACCAAACGGTCTGCCCATTTCTGGATGCACGAATAACAAAATCTGTGGCCGCAAGGGAGAATGCCTCTGCTGGAGCTAAACTCGGTCCAGCATATAATGCAGGAAACCTGTGCAGGAGGAACCTTCTCCGTTGCGTCTGTTTCATCTGTTCTTGAATCAGTTTTGTTGTAGTTTGACTCATCATCTTGCGGTTTTCTCTCTGCACAATTTGATCTAGGACGTTTAAAAACAGCTGAATGACTCCAATTCTCAGATTCCTCTATTTCATTCACGTCCCAGTTTTGTGTTGTAGAGTCTCCAGGATGTCGAAGAGCTGATGTTTCTCCTGGTTCGAAAACACAGTCCCTCACAAATTCATCATCAGGTTCTCTAATATCATGAGTCTTATTTTGGTTCTCATCAGAATTGTCAAGACAATTATTATCAGACTCCTCATCAGATTCAAGGTCGATAAGGTTTCTGCACAAGCGCTGCTGTACTAACCGCCTCTTTCCTTTCCCTGAAGATTCCGCCACACCAGTGTTTTCCTTGTCTTCTAAAATACTACTCGGCCTCTTTGTTCTTAATCGCACTGACTGTCTGTTTACTTCCATATTTTTCTGAAGACCAGGGACAGGAACTACCAAAGTAAATATACAATACACAGAACAGTGATGCAAGCAAGCATTTTCATTTGCGCTAATTCAAACATTCCACAGTGACCACCTATTTGCTAATCTTGATAGCTATATCATAATATGAAAACTAAACTTGATGAGTATATATTATTACCACGTTAGTCTCTCAAATCATAAAGAAAACGATTGTACTAATATAAAACTAAACTTATAGCTGGAAGGTAAAGAATTACAATCAGTAGAGCTCTAGATTCTGCTTGTACCTAAACGCAAATATACAAGAAGAGAACAAGTATTACCTCTTTCAACAAGACAGAATCCATCCAAGTGGCAAGCTCAGAAGTGGAGCCTCTCCTGCTTTCTTCACCATTACTAAAGTATTTATCAAAAGTTTCTGCAGCCTTATTCACTTTTTTAGCGACTTTAGCAACCGAAGGAAGTTCAATCATCAAAGGTCCAACCTCTTCCCCACTGAAAAATTAAAGCTTTATCAATCATCTTTTAGGAACATAGAAGCCATCTTACATATTTCAAATAAGAAGACTGAGCAAACCTTTCAAACATATAAGGCGTCTCAGAAACTCGTCTCCCTTTCCTTACGCATTCTTCCAGCCACTGATGATTAACTACTACTGTATTAAACTTCTTCGCAAGATCATACTTTTTTCCCTCGAATCTCCAACACACCTACACACATAACCAATACAACAAAAGGGTATAACTTTGTAGTCCGAGTCCCATTGTAGTTAACAGCATTCAAAAAAAAAAAAAAAAAAAAGCACAAGATACACAAACCAAATGCGTAATAGATCTTGACATTGCCCCGACATAACTAGCTCCAGAATGAGAAATAAGCTTGATGAGCTTGAACCTTTCAGATCCGTGATAACCACTCACAGTCGCAACCACATTTTCCATACCTACAATTATCAGAGCCACAAAAATCTGAAAAATTCGGGATGAATCCAAATACTGAGGGGTGGTTGCTACAATTTCTTCTAAAATCACACTGCACGATTAAACCCCAATATCTCCGAGCCGAGAGGATCAATATTGAAAAATCGGATTAAAATCTCACTGACTAAATGGGTCAGAATCGGGAAACCCTAAACTTAAAAAATCGAGCTATGTAAACCAATTTACAGCAATTCAAGAACCCTTATTTAGGAGAATCGAACAGCGAAACCCTAGAAATCGCAATTTTTTTTTGATTCGAGCAGAATTACCTGGTTTAATATTGGTACGAATTTGCTGCGATTATCTCTCGTTTTAGGAATCCGTCGCTTATGCCTCTTTCGTTGATCTCAGTTTGTACTCTTTATCTCTTCGTGTTCTTTCTAAGGTCAGTAACAATGGAAGAAATTGGCTAAGGGAGAAGCGAAATTTTTTGGATATGGACTGGCGGGAATTTGAAATACAAACTTTTGAAAAGAAAAAAGTTTGGATGGACAAATTAGCTTATTTGATTTATCTCAAAGGTCTTAGGTTTGGATTCAATATTGAAAAACAAGATTACTATTTACAAGAAAATTTGTACCTTTCGATTCATTTGTAAACTCGTTAACTGACCAAAACATATACTGGCAAAAAAAATTGGTAAATTGGTGAAAGAACGAACAACAAATTTCTTTTTATTGTTTCTTCTTTCTCGCTTTACATCTCTTGTATCACAATGAAACGTCGGTCACCAAAACTTGTAGCACTCAAAGTTCACCACTGTACCAACTTCTCTTTACCCATACATTATCCAGACCGGGAACAATCCCACAGTTACAGGAATGTAGCTGGTGAGTTATTATTATATACTGGTGGCCTCATCTGCGACTAGGGTTTCCACGTGGACCGGCTGGTGCAGCTGACCCGTAAGGAGCATTGTTGGATGGTCCAGGAGGGAATGGAGCGCCGTAAGGTCCTGAGGGTAACCTAGTTGTTGGGTCATATGAACCAGGTCCAGGAGGGCCTCTTGGGAAGTTGTAACCGGGTCTTGGAGGGAAGTACCCTGGCTGAGTTACTCCTGGATAAGGGTATTGAGGTGCAGCAACAACTGGATTTGGTCCAGTTGCGTTACCAGCAACTGGTTGAGGAATGTATCCCTGCAAAAGTAACAAAACATATATAGCTCAACACACATTTAAATGTATCCCTGCAAAAGTAACAAAACATATATAGCTCAACACACATTTAAATCTTATTACAAGCAAGTCAAAAGGGAACAAAGTTTTAAACAAATCTAGAGCTCATCCTTTCTACTTAATACTATGGTATAGATTCCTTTCATGGTGGTCAATAGAAATAGGCTTGCCAAGAGAAACTCACGAACCTGAGGACCAAAAGCTTCATCATAATAACTGTTCTGATGCCCAGAAGCGTCAATTTCAGCATTAATGTTGCTACCATAAGGGACACCTTCATTTGGTTGACAGATACAACTCTTAAAATACTAAAAAAAGTCATGAACGAATGAAGCAAAATAGAATAGAAACAAATTTAATACCCGCTCTTCTATCTGAATTTCCACTATTCATCAACTGTGCTTGAAGTTTTTCTACTTCCCTAGCCATAGTCATGTAGTTCTTCTCCATTGCCTGAAGTGACTCGAGATGGTCATTATAGAACTTCTTCTCATAATCATAAGTTGCCCTGCAGAATCAGATGAAGAAAAGTTATCCCGACCATCATAAGAGGAAGATACAAAGGCTGACAAACTCAATAGCTATAAAAAGAGTAGGATCTGTGATATTAAAAGCTTCCATTCCATTAATCCTAAGCGTCAACTTTCAATTTCTACAACCATATTAACTCAGAAACAGATACCTGCACTGCTGATACTCCTGTCTCAAACTCTCAAGTTCAGACATCAAAGCTGGTATTTGTTGCACATCTGAACTAGCTTTCTGAAGTTCCTGAGTCAACTGATGCACTTTGGACATAAGTTCATCCCTCGCCAGGACCAGACTACGTGCCTCAGTACGTGCTTGTTGCAAATCCAACTTCACAGCCTCAGACTTCTGAAGCTCAGTCTCCATTTTCGCAACTTTCTCAGCGAGACCCCTCATCCGTTGCTCTCTCTCTGACTTCATCGACCCAATTTGCCCGTGCAACATCTGCAATTCGTGCTGCGCTGCCACTAGCTCTTGTCTTAAACTACCATGAGATGCACCAAGTCTCTGATTCTCTATAGCAAGCCTCTGCAATTCCCCACGTTGTGCCACAAATTTTTGCTCCATAACTTCAGGTGGAGGCAACATGTTGAAAGAAGGAAACGCACCCTGAGCAACAGAAGGCGGTATAGCACCGTGACCACCATAAGTCTCCGGATGCACAATACCGCCGGGACCTGGAAGAGGACGCCTCATATGATGATGTTGAGATGGATGGATTCTTCCTTTGCTCTCCATCAAACAAAGGCTTCAACTTTATCAACTGAGGAAAAAAAAATCACATTCAAAATCAAAACTAATTCATAGGCAGACTCAGATTATAGTGCAAACTCATGAACAAAATTAGGGTTCTACATAATCGAAATCAACGATTTAGATAGCGACTAATTCCGATTCAATCCTGGAAAAAGTCTAGGTTTTTTTAAAATACTACAATGGAACGAGATCGATACGTACCTTCGAAGCAATAATGGGGTAAGAGAAGAATCGAAGACGCTCACTGGGAATAGTTGTTTGATCGAGTTTTGAGAGAGAGGGAGGAAGACTAGCAAATCGGCGGCGAAGGTTATATTTAACCGGCGAGATTTTTTTTTTTTTTTCTATTCAGTTGAGCCAGGGGTGAGCAAAGAAAAAAGTGTGGATTTTTATTTTGTAACTATGTGACAAGTTATTCTATTAACTCATGCTATGTGTGTATGTGTGGTAAGAAAAAGTGTTACCTATATACAAACTAGGTAAATACACGAGCAAACTATATTTTCATACTAGTCGGTTGCCCGCGCTACGCGCGGTAGTTTTATTATATTGTTGATGAGTAATTGGTTCGTATTTTATTTCTTACTTATTTTTTTTACCATAGCATACTTTATTTTTAAAAAATATTAGATTGTGTTTGTATAGAAAACCTATTGAGTTTTAGCTTCATTAGTAATTGAGAAATTAAACGTGTATAATATAGATTGATATATGAGTGTAAACGAAAGTGCAGTGGAGAATCATAGAAAAACATGTGTTATTAAAGTTTCTACCAAATATAGATCTAGATGTTAATATTGTGGTCCTTTTTAATATATTGGGCTGAAAGTTAAAAATGATTTGTGGGTTTCAAGCGGATTATTGTATTTTTATTGGTTACATTATCCTTGTATATTGTCATAATTTAATTTTTTGTTTTTTTCGTTTCTTTTTTTTATTTGACGTAATTTATATCTCGTTATGATCATTTTTATACTATTATATATTTGTTTCTGATTTTCTATTTTATATATTTTTCGTATATTCATATGGAACAAAATTAAAATTTAACATATTAGTATAATTTACTTTATATTTAGTTCATTTCATTTAATTATGTTTTTTTGTTTTAATTTTCAATTTTTATGAAATATTGTTAGTTTTTTGTTTTGTTTATTAGTTAACCATATTTGTTGTATTGGAAAAAAATTAGTTAAATTCATATTGCAAACTATTAAAGAAATATTATTTTTAGTGTGACCTTTTTTATGTGTTTTTAAAATGAGAATTCATGTTTTGTACTAACCTATCTCATTTATGTTTATTAGATAGATTTATATTCTTAAATTTTCTTACGTTTTGTTCTATTTCCGTTAAATCTCATTTTAATTTAGGTTTAGATTGTGTAAATATAATTAAGTTTTGTGTCATATTATTTTAAATTTATATATATCTTCATTATAAAACATTCTATTATTTTTTATTTTTAATCAATAACATTTTTATTTTGATAATATATAATATAAGAAAAGACCTTTCATATTTCTTTTTGAAAAATTATTTAGATATGTCAAAATCAAATTAGATGATAAAATGATATAATTAATTCTTAAAACTAAATAATAAAATAAAGTAAATGATGATTAGGATGATGATGTGGCTTAAGGAGAAGAGAGAAAAAGTTAACTTTATATATATAGATAAGTTTTAGTTTTTTTCGTTAAAATATTTTTATCTAAATTCTGTTATGAAAAACTTTCTACAATAGACGGGGTTATAAATAACTTTTTTGAATAATAATTCAACGGCACAAATTTCTTTGTAACACTTATATTCACAACGATTTGTTTTGCATGTACGAAATCTTTACGATCAACATGTTTTCTTTCTAAAATACATGAAATCACGAAAAAATGTTTGCGACATTCTAATCATTCGATCAGCTTTGCACCATTAATTGTAAAAGATGTATTATCTAGAAATCGAACGTTATATCTTATGTAGAAACTTTTAAACCCTTACTAGTGAGACATGAGATTTCTAAAGTCTTTTTTCTTGTAATGATATAGACATTAAGCCAATATCTAATGCAAGTGTAAGATTTATTTTCCGCAGTCAACCTATATCAAGTGAAGCAAGAATATTGGTTTCTCTTATATAACTTTTGGGTTCTCCACGATAAGTTGAATTCTCCGATGAAATTTTTCTTTTTTGGAGACGTTTTGTCTTTGTAATTAGATCTTTAAGTTTATTTGAAGTTTTATTCATTATTTTTCTGTGTTAGCGCTTATGTCTCTGAAAACTTTGGTTTTGCCGGCTTTGTTTCTAAAAATATATTTTTCTTCGCCGACTTTGTATTTTTCTCCGATGATTAATAGTATGAGATGACGAAAAAACTGTTTTCTAAATATTACATGATTTTGAGGTTATAAAAAACAAATATAGTATGTAGGACAATAATATATTGTCGAATTACTCTTTTTCTATGCTTAAATTTGTGTAATCTTAATTATAGTATTGATTTATATTTAAGGCAGTAGTCATTTATTTATGAAATTAACAATAATAACACATCAAAATTATTACATACTTATATTTTATTCAAAATAACTTTTTTGTTAAACATATTTATTTATTTTTATTATTCTAATTTTGATCATTATGGTGGAGATACTCCACTGCTATAACTTTTATGTATTGAAATAAATAATTGCTTAGAAAAACCAACATCAACTGATAATTTTCAATATACGATATCTAATCTAATTATGGTACAAATTTATTGTTATTTTTCTTTTTCACAAAATGCTTGTAACTAAAAACTGAAAAAAACCATTTAAGCCGACCCGACCCGACCTGGAACCAAATTCGGCTTTTCTCATCCGACCCGAATAGATCTGAAAAACAAATATTCCGATCTCTCTCTTTCTCTGAGCTTTAGCTTCGTTCTATGTTTCTCCTGCTTCTACACTGCTAATGGCGAAGACTACTGCCATCGACAACGTTCCTCTGTCGCGCTTCGGCGTCCTCGTCGCCCAGCTTGAGTCGATTGTTGCTTCAGCTTCTCAGAAAAACCCTGACCCTCTCCTCTGTTTCGAGATCCTTTCTGATCTTATTTCCGCCATCGATGAAGAGCCCAAGGTCCTTCTCCCAATTTCTCAAAACCTATTCTGATCGTTCTTAATATATTTTCCCAGTGTCGTTAATTTTGTATCTGAGAATTAGAATGAGAGTCTTTGTTAAATGAGCGTTATCATAAACCCTGATCTGAGATCAACTAGTAGACTTCTTAGTTTCATATGCATTGCATTGTTATTTAAATGTGAGAAAATCGTTTCCATTTGTTCTAAATTGTCCGCAGTAGTGAGGCTTGAACTTGATTATGCAACTTTCATTTTCTAGATATATATTCAGGTTGAACTTGATTACTTAGAGATTGTGAGTGAATTTCTAACGAGGAACGTTACATTCACCAACTAGTTTGTAGATAATTGTGTAAATATACTTGGCATTTGTTTGATTCTGATGGGTTCTCAACGATCAATGTATGTCAGGAGTCTATATTAGTATCTCAAAGAAAATGCGAAGATGCCTTGTATTCTCTTGTTACCCTTGGTGCTCGGCGACCCGTACGTCATCTTGCATCAGTGGCTATGGCGAAAATTATATCCAATGGTGATAGTATTTCGATATATTCTAGAGCTAGCAGTTTACAAGGGTTTCTTTCAGATGGGAAGCGGAGTGATCCTCAGCGAGTTGCAGGTAGGCTGTATTTTTGTTAAGATTACTGGAAAACTGCTATTGTGTAGCTTTTGTCATTTTAGTGATGTTTTGGAATAAAGATTAGTATTTGTCACCTTCCTAAGCAGCTTTTCAGTTTCGATTTGCTGTTTGGTATTCTACCGAGTACATCATGCATCCAAATATTTCTTAAAGTTCATCTATGTGGAAGGGTTTCTTTGATGTTTATTTGGTCTTATGCTCCTAAGTTAATAGATACAATTTTTTGTAGGTGCTGCCCAATGCTTGGGAGAACTGTATCGTCATTTTGGGAGAAAAATTACTTCTGGCTTGTCCGAAACAACAGTTATTGTATCAAAATTAGTGAAGTTTAATGAGGTCATCACAGTTCAACTTTACACTCGAAGTTCTTTCCGTCATGTGTAGTAACGTGGTGTGAAAATATCCTATAGTAACGTGATTTGTGGCAGTGAAGGCACTAAATTTCTGTAACTATTGCTATTAATATTTATGATATGGTCTGATATAAACCAGTAAAACTATTCCTAGTGTCTAAGTCTGCTGTCTCAGTTTTTTCAATTATTGAATCTATTTCCACCCAGCTATCATTATCAAGAATTTTGTGAAGAAACTTGGGCTATCAAAATAAATTATGACGTGTGTCACTGTGGCTATGAGTTATTAATTAACTCTGTGCTGTTTCCCTTGTTTCAGGATTTTGTGAGACAAGAAGCTTTTATCTTGCTTCAAAGTGCTTTGGAAGGCTGCGGTGGTACAGCCGCTGCCACTGCATACTCAGAAGCATACCGTCTCATCACAAGATTTTCCACTTCAGACAAATCATTCGTAGTGAGAATTGCTGCTGCTCGTTGTTTGAAGGCTTTTTCCAACATTGGGGGACCAGGTCTTGGTACTAGCGAATTTGATACTTTAGCCTCTTACTGTGTTAAGGTCAGTTTGATGTGCTAGTAAAACTTGTATGTGTTTTAACTCGCTCTTCTCTCAATGTCTTGGTGGGTTGTGATGTCTATCTCTGAATATTTATATATGCCTATGTTATTGTAGGGTATTGAAGATTCAGAATCATCTGTCCGAGATGCATTTGCAGAGGCTTTGGGCTCACTGCTTGCACTAGGAATGCATCCTGAAGCGCATGTAGGCTTATTTTACTAGTAATTTGTGTGCTTCTTGTCGTCATAATTTTGTGGTTATGGAGTTTTGTAATTATTGTTAGGTCCAACCTAGAGGTAAAGGTCCATTTCCACCAGCAAAGAAACTGGAAGGTGGTCTGCAGAGGCATCTAACTTTACCCTTCACAAAAGGTAGTGTTAAGACAAGATCTCTGTGTGTAAATTTTTGGTTTGTTAACTCTTCAGACATGGGAGTTATTTTTATTTTCTAAGAAAGGTTTGCAGTAGAGCTTTATTTCCTTTTGCGAAGCACTAATTCCGTTATAGAAAATACTTAAAATCGCAGCGACTGGATCTCGGGCAAAGAATACACGGTTCGGTTTGGCTCTGTCTTGGGTGTTCTTTTTACAGGTAAGCAAATGCTGGAAGCTTTTCACTTTTTTTGTTCTCCTTGTGTGTTGAGACATATTATCATTAACATTTTATATGGGCATTTTAAGGAAATCG